CACACGCGCTTCACATGAAAGCCTTAATAATTCTATATTATTGTGAAAGCAGCCTTATGTCAACTGGAAATTCGGTGTGAACGGTAGCTTCACGTCCAAAGTGTATTTGATTGTGTTGTGTATTCGTAAGTTACCAACACCATCCAGAGTACAAATAGGTAAAGAAGGCAAAGTAGTCAGCGCCATCTGTCGTGTAAAAAATGCGATGGACGTGCGAAGACGACGACCACGACGACGGAACTGAAATAAAATCATCTCGCTCGCCATTTCAATACGCCCTGATCTCGTACACTAATCGTATTGAACTTGGTGGCAATCGCTTCAGAACCTTCAATTCCTATAGTGAATGTATCAATAACTTTTCCTCATATATAGCGGTTCATAAGATATTTCGTTCCAAACACAGGTATAAGGAGTTGACTCGAGTAAAGAGTCTCGGCGCGCTGCGCCCTGTACAGCCGGTTGCCTGTACTTGGCGCGAGACTCGACCGAGTCTCTTGATCAAGAATTTGGCGAATCGATCGAAAATAATGAGTCAGATTAATTAAATAGAGGTAACGACCCCTCGAGGAGAATCAGGAAGCTTCTTAGAAGATTCGAATTAGTTAATTTGTTTAAGTGCCATGCAGTCCAAGGCGAATTGTTCAGGGTCACGTGGTCTCTTAGCGAAGTGCATTCTTTAAATAGAAAGTAGGTACTTTAGTACACCAGCCAAGTCGAAGGTCAATCGGTGCCCATCCCTTGGGACAATGAGACAGCCATGATCGATGATAATATAAAATATGGAGAATAAAAAAGATCTTTTATAAAAAGTGCAAAAGTGACTCAATTAGAACCTAAGCAATGAAGGGTTTATTGAACTTGTCCTTCTAGGAAAAATACTAGGACCGTTGCACGAAAGACGTTTTTTAATTGAGTCGAAGCCATTCGAAGGCTACTGGCACTCGTCGCCCTTCCAAGCTGCTAATTAATCCAATATGACGATTAGTATTCATGTCGGATAGCGCCGCTCTCAAACTGTCGCAAATATTACAGTCGATTGATCGTCCGCAGCGAGCATTAATTTTAGCTCTAAGCCTCCAACGCTTCAATTAGTATTCCTCCGGGAGCACGTCTACCTGGCATCGCTTTGACTTTGTGTTTGCTATCGGGTTAGAAGCCATTATATTCCCTACCTGAGCCTTTTCCTCATGGAAGTCAAGACGTCACGTTAGATCTGTTAATTGATCTCAAATTCTCGCGAATACTCATCCACCTCAATTCATAGTCATCGAGAAATTGAATACTTGACAATTTTTATTGCTAGGATTCATAGATCGAGTTCCGCCTTTAGGTCAGATGCATGATATATATTTCGAAAAGGAACGAAGCCGGAAGGCTTCGTATTTCCGGTCCCTCGGGTCTTCGTATCCATAATTCCCTGAAATAAGAAACTTCTCCTCGCTAACTCAAGATCAACATCTTAAGCATTGACAAGCATGCATTTTTCCAGCAGGTGACGTATCCGGTGATAGTACGATGCATGCTTGGACTCTGGTTGGCTGCTGCAGCTTTGTCCAGCCTGCCTTTGCTTGGATTTGGTCTCTACTACAAGGGCGACAAATGCAAACGCTACAGGGAAGCTACGGAACCCGAAGATATTGCCTATGCCTACGTATTCTTCTTCTTCGGTACGCAGAGTTTCTTACTAAAGTTTTCAATCAACCAACCACGTGGTTTAAACGGTCCTAATTGGCAGTACTGATTGTTGATAGTAATTAATTTCCAATTGCAGGCACTGTCCTCTGCCTCTGCATCGTCTGGTGTAATCTGGCTGTATCGAGAGCCCTTAGTAGGCTGGGACGTCGCGATGGTACGATCAGACGCATCTCAAGGGCGTCATCCAGAGCTACTCCGCTACTCACGGTAGCTGGACCACCACCTCCAATCGTACCAACCGTCGAGGAAAAAGCATTTTCACGCCTAATGGCCGTTCTGTCGATATCATTCGTCATATGCTGGATGCCTCAAATGGTAAGTGGATCTTCATCCTGCGAATGACCATGGATCAACGTGGATCAGACGCTATTTGCATACTCATTTCATTCACTTTGTAGACCAGTCATAAACATAGCCATCCGCACCTATCTCCTTCGTGATCAAATTTACAAACTTAAAGCACGCCCATGGAATTAATTATAGACCTAATCAATTTTGGTATCGTGAATTTTTCTACTGAAATTTCTTTTTTTTTCCAACGATAATTCGATCAATCGATCATGTATGTTTTTTTTTCTTGTTGGACGTAATGCATTACTTCGCATAATAATAATGGTTTTTACATCGAGCGACTGAGCCTATATACAGGGTGTTCCGAAACTACCTGACCCGGTGGGTATGGCCGTGTTCGGGAGGCTTCACTGATCATGAAAATGACCTTTTTGTCCGGAAGGTCATAGTTTCTAAATTGGAGCAGGTCAAAGTTGACCAATCAGAACGAGGCGTCAAGAGAAACGTAGGTACCTACGAACTCTGAGTTTTCTTCCCTCGCTTTTGTTTCTCGGTGGCTTCTTTCTTGTTTCTTGTTTCCAATAGGCATGTCTTCGGCTGACGTCATCCAGCCCGAAGCTACCGAGAAACAAAAGCGAGGGAAGAAAACTCAAAGTTCGTAGATGCCTACGTTTCTCTTGACGCCTCCCTCTGATTGGTCAACTTTGACCTGCTCCCATTTAAAAACTATGACCTTCCGGGCAAAAGGAAGGTTATTTTCGTGATCAGTGAAGCCTCCCGAACACCGCCATACCCACCGGGTCAGGTAGTTTCGGAACACTCTGTATATAGCTCAGTGCCAAAAGCATCACTCGACCAACATAATGACGTACGATTAAGCACACGAATAAATTCACTGAACAAAGACAATGCTTTGCGAATAGCTGAACGCACGGGAAAAGCACTTGCCATTTTAGTCAGGCTATTTTTCGCATACGATTTAGTTAACGTCGTTATTCAAAGCTACCACCACAACGGGCCTACGTTCCTATGACAATGTCCAACGTGTAGTTTACTCGGCTGACTTCGGTGTGAACTTCTCAACGATCTAAAAGCGTTCGCAAAACGATCGTATTATCCTTCGGCCGGGCTGGATAATTATCGATTTGGATTTCCGCACGCGAACTTCAACTTCCTCTACGATCGTTCTCAAATTTGTAAATCGCTCCTCGTGTCGTATTATTTTGAAAGATTGTCACGTACCCTATCCTCGTGATGTTTTATGCCTACGCAGGTAGCTATAGGTATACACCGTGTGCCTCTTATTGGCAGAAATTCTTTTGCCCATTGCCAACCATGATATTCCAATAGTGATCAATGGCGTTCTTTGATTCATAAATAATTAATGAATTAATGCAATTCTCAATCCAAATGCACTGACCGATGCACTCAACTGCAGTTCAAGGTGATTCCCTGCATTCCATTGGAACGCTAGGAAGTCAGTTTCCGGTATCTCGTGGGAGAGTAGGCTAATTTTTGTTTGGACCATAACGGCCTCAATATTAAAAATAGTTATTCATTACTATTTTGAAATACGCCCACGACTTGAAATTTTTTTTATTTTTTTTTTCTCTCAATTTTATTACTCGCGTACCAGTTCGACCTTCTTGCATCGAAAGATTTATATTTTTACTAGTGCCAAACGACGAGAAATATTATGCAACTGGCTGACTCGATAACGTGGACGTGGCTGTACGTGTAGGCACGTGTTTCTGAATGCGTTTAGTTTTTATTCCATTCGGTAAATATAGGTACGGTATAGTAGGAATTTAGTTTTAATAGTAGTTGAATGCTCGAGGCGTTCGTAGATGCTTAGGAATGCCGTTGTGGGACTTCCTGAAATATTTAGAACTGCTTAAGTAGTTATTGGAATATTTAGATACACGGAACCTTTTTTTACTCTTTTTTTCCAGATTTCCATACCTCTCGCACAGTACTCGATGACTTTACCCGCAACTGCTACGGGTGTACGAAAATTTATTGGAATCTTTCACGTGGCTGCTGAAATACTTCTCTGCATTCATTTCACCTTGGATCCATATATCTATGTCCTCCTTCGACAGCGACCACGATTTCCACTGCTGAAGCCATTGTGCAAAATTTTCTATCCTGGAAGAAGAAGCCGATCCAGTTCTTTCACCGGTGAGACACGAAGACTGCTATGATTTTTATTAACAATGATGAATGCGTTGTTTATTAATAGTAATGACTTTTTTTTTTAGGTACGACCGATCATCAAGGAAGCAGTGGGGATCCACCTACTCCCATAACCGAAGCACCCTCGACTTCTCTCAGCGAAGAGAACGAACTGCAATTAATGGCAGCAACTGCCTGAAATTATTTTTTGCGAATATTCCGTCGGAGGCAAAAGAAAAATGGCGAAACGCAACTCTGAGTCTTGGGGTCTCGTTTTTCTCGCAAAGTTCCGCAATCTTTTGCCTCGGGGGAATCTTCGTATTATAGCTTTCGCTACCGGTGATACTTAATAAGATTATTAACAGATCAAGATTTTCGTGTCCGTCAATCTGATGAAGTCTTGGGCTCTGTTTACGACCATTCATTTTTCTCGAAATATCCAACTATCTCGTTCACTGTTTTATTTGCTACCAAGCCAATTTCTGGAGATAGCCATTACAATTAAACTTTCAATAAATCTTATCGATGTGGAAACTAAATCGTATCGATTTAGTGAATATTTATATCGAACAAAATTTTGGTTATGGTTATCCTTATGTGTAGAAGCATAGCAAGTTACTTTCGGTTTCAAGCAACTTTGTGGAATATCGAGGAAACGTCAGTAACATAATAAGATTGAGATAATAAGATTAAAAATTTGAGCGAGAGTATTTATGGGAGAAAGGACGCCTAATTATAATTTACTTGGACAGTATAATCTTCAGACTGTTTTTAATCGAATAAAATTACGTTAAGTCTTATCAAAGATATTGAAGTATACATTTATATTTTTTTTGTTAATGAAGAAATTTTTTAATTATTAACGCCAATATCGAGCGACACATTCCGTTCGCGTACGAACGATTATTTTATCCGTATGATGGATAACGGTAAAGTACACTTTGGCAAAGTCTCACTCCGGTGACAATGATGTTTGCGGAGAGAACGTAACGCCCAATTTGTGGAAACTCACCTATGCGATATACGTTGATAGATTGTTAAACGAATTATAATTGGAAACCGTAATTGACTATGGAGCTGGGTGCCTTAAGAAAAGAAAGAAAAAAAAAAGTATTCTGTGGACTAACGAGCGGATAGCATATTTACGAGACACTCTCTAATTATCTTCTGGCTACATTCACTATTAGAGGATCATTCGACATTTTCGTAGCCGCCATTAGGCCATTGAAATATTTTTGTAAAGTGTCTATATGTATATCTGTTATCGTATACTGTACACTGGATAGTCTATTTTCATAGTGGCTATAGATAAATATTTTTAAAATCTTTATGCGATTCGCTTGTATTTCTCGTGTTTGATAAAAATACGTCAGAAGTCAAACTACATACAGACCTTACTGCAACGCATAAATCTAACGATTTAACATGATCATTATTCTATTGTATTATTTCTCCATCGTAAACATTATCGATTGGAACTCTAATCGTTTGTCACTGGCAAATGACGATGACGTTGATTATAGACGGGACTGATACAACTGACGAGTATTATCAAATACAAGAAATATCGCTTGCAAGTAAATCAATAACATATTCACGAAGAATCTCATAGGTATATTTATTTTTAACGAAAATCAAATCTGTATATCATGAAAAACCGTACGGTTTTCCCGGAAATATATGAGAAATCTGTATATTTTGAATAAGGTGCTTAATTACATGCTAAATCGTACTGAATTGAAGCGCATATATTTGTCGCTAATATATAAACGTTGGCGTGTATGTATATTTCTAGTCAATAATGTCAATGTTAGGTATAAGAAAAATGAAAAAACAAGTGATTAACACCGTAACAATACCAAAGTATATAATGCGTTGTAATCCAATTTTAACAGTATAACGATATATCATTTGATGCAATTTATACATATATTGAACATATCTATATATTTCCTTAAGTTAATTATATCAAAATAATAATTAGATGTTTAATGATACGATCGTACGAAAAACAATTATTGAATAGTACGACTGTCGTCAGATCTTATGTGATTAGATAAAACGAGGATAAAAATAAAAAGAATAATCAAGAGAAATAATGCCAAAGTGAAACATTTTTTTGAAACATAAACCGTAAGCATTTTATTATCGTGAAACTTAATATCAGACTGTTGTAATTCAAATACTCTATTAGACTTATGAACTGGAAAATTAAGTGTTACAAAAATATTGGCGAATCTTGTTAATTTCAACTATTTTTTTATATTCACTCTTTAAGTATATATTGCGTTGCGCTTAAAGAACATTTCGTTTTATTCGTACATAGGCAGTAAAGTGTATTGGAATTGCTGTATCCGGAGGCCTGTAATTGCTTGTAAGTTTGAGCTGTAATTATCATTACGAGTCTACGTAAAAACTTACTATGTAGATTGAGATTCTTATCATTGTCAAGATACAAACATTTTTTTTACCAACTGTGTAACAAGTAGTCTAATCTTTAAGAGTCGATTATACATGTGTATAAACCTCTATATTAATGACTGTCACAGTGCATAATGCGTGTACTGATATTTGACTTATAATTATGACCTGATATGCACGCCCATTCAATTCAAAAGTATCAGTCAAGTTTGGGCAACGATTTTTGGTTTTCCAAAATCAATCAGCAATTGGCAATATGAAAATTGTTTGCATTTCAGCTAAATAATTCTGCATGTACCAACGTTAATAAATGTTTTAAAAAACAATATTCTAATTTCATCGATACCGTTGCATTCACCTGCAATAAATGTTCATCCATTCACTGACCCTTCAATGTCAAATAAAAAACTGTCCATGGTCCACGTATGCCGGAAGCGCCTGTAGTCGATAACCCGTTACACAGAAATCATCCTATATTTAGAAAAACCGTGTGTCAACAATCTTGTAAAGAATACTAAGTATCGAAAAAGAAGTATCTTTTTTATTCTCTTGGGTAAAGGCAAACTATTCGATAAAAAAAAAACAATATAATTCTCCGGCTGAGAAACCGTCGAAGCGCTACAGGTTGCCTTCCTGCTGAGTACAGTTGTACAAAGTTAGAGATTGTCAAGGCGCATTGTAAATCTGGATCAAGTTATCTGAATGGAGATCTCGAGCGACGCTCACTCGATTCTGGCTAGTAGAAAGTAAGAGTAACACAGGGTAAAACTGACGTAGGAACATTCGAAGGAGGTATAGGATATTCTCTATATAGATTTAGTGCAAATCGAATTAGGTCTGTTTATTCGTAGGTGATAATTGTTAGCGTAATAAGAATGCAATATAGTTTTCGCAACGGGATGCAAAAAGTGTATAGCATTTGACTTAGCTAATAATATCAGTTTCGCGGTTCCGAAGTTGGCATGGCGAAACGGCATAGGTTGTACAACGTAATTATTATCTACATCACACATGCCTGGGGGCGGTAGAAGGGGATACATACTTGTACACCAGCTCGTATTACGTACCTGCTGACTTTCTCTGTGACATAATTTCTTATGGCTGTAAGGGAGGCTGCACGACGGAAACTGGACCAGTTTAGTTTAACATCAAACTCAGTGCGGTCATGGCAAGAAGTTACTGCGCCCTTGCGATTGCTTTAGCTGCCATCTTTGGGATGGTAGACTGCATCAACATCCCTCAGGTAAATTAAATATCAATTATGACTTTGATTCAATTTCACTATTTATTTGGAGCAATCAGTATTCTAATTATTGACAAAGTACATCTTTTCTTCCATAAAATGTGCTTGGATAATATTGATCCTTTTTTTCTTTATTCTTAACCACAAAGCACCTATCTTGCCGACAGTACTGGATTACAGGACGATTGAGTAGGATTAGTAAATTTTCGGGGTTAAAAAAAAAGTTATCCCAACAGCACGCGACGCTCAATGGTTACAATGAGTACCAGCGCTTTCTACCCGTGGCGCCACTGAACGGACCAATTCTACTGAAAAAGGCATCGAAGAAGAATGAGCAGGATTTGAGTAAAGTGCCTGGAATCCCTGGAGTGGATTATCCTATTTACCATCAGGTACCGTCGACGAGTTTCTCTTGCGCACATGTACCTTATGCACCAGGAATGTACGCCAATGTGGAGACTGGTTGTCAGGCAAGTATCCCGTTTGCATAGATTAAGAAAAACAGTGCGGAAAGCATGTGAATAACGAAATTAATTATTTTTACGTACCGGGTGAACCGTAAATTTGTGCAAATGGTAAAACAAAAAATCCGATACATAAAATTTCCAAAAGATAACAATCTCTAACGGAGTTGCGTAACTTTTCTATAAGTGGGAGTACAGAAAGTATCAAGATATGCGAATTCGATACGCTGTCGAGTATCAGTGTTGAAAAAAGTAACTGGAATTAGATCAACGTCAACGCAATCTCAAGGTCTCGGTTGGATTAAAGTAATCAAGAGAATCGCGAAATCTTACGAAATTACGTTAATCCGTGCGATTATTATTTTCCCATGCAAATCAACTAGATGGCAAATTTATTTATGCTCGAGTAATATCCGCGAGACACAAACAACCGTCGTATTATCTTTCCTGACATTTCACTTGGATCATTCGGTTATCGATCGTGCTTCGATCATTAGAATCAATAGCTGCAATCGAACTAGAACGAAGGAGCCAATCGATAAGATGAAGAAAGCCCGTGGAGAAAGGATAGAGACCATGGAGTCTAATTGCTAATTACGTCACGCAAAGAAAAGGGACTCCTGTAAGGTAATTCGCAAAAATTACATTGTGCACTGATTTGCTATCGAATAATTTTTTTTTCTTCAACGTCCCCAGCTAACGATATACTTGACCCAGTGTCCATGCGCAAATTTAAATTAATGCGAATCCCTTCGCTCCTGCGAAATTCGCGAAGGCGGCGGCCGACGCGTCTCGCTGCGTTTTATACTTCCACACCGCACACCGTGGAATTAGCAGGGCGAACTAATCTACGAGCGACACGATTGCGCAACGCGGAAGAGTAATCTCGGAATTACTGGCACTGCGTTAATTTATATGTACATGGAGAAGAATAGTAGGGGCCGGGGGAGTGGAGGGGAAGTACACGTTACAGAGTACGAGTTTACATAAATTTGTAAAAAAAAAAATAAATAAATAAAACGTGGACAACGTACAAATGTACCTTCTGGTATAATTGTGGAATTTAATTAATATAAATAGTGCGAGTAAGTGTCGAGTGTAGAGTGCACTTTCGCAAAATTCGAAAGGAATTCCTGGCACGTGTTCGTCATGGTGCGAAGTTACGTACGTTAACGTACAGACTTTTTCTTCGACCGTCCAAAACAAAGCCTGACGTTTCCGAGCACTTGTCAGTCTTGTTAATCGCTATGGTAAACACGGGCTTTGCCGTTGTTTCTTATGAGGGAAACGATCGATTAATTTGCAGGTATATAGGTATACTCTTTCAATGGTGCATTATGAATTTTGAGGAAACAAAAAAGGTTGACGACCTTACGCGGTAGCGCGTTGCGATTTAAATGTTGTGCACAAAGTTGAATATTTCATGAGAGACTGTTTTCGAAATTCCGACGAGAGCGATCGCTTACGTGTGAATACGTCTTGAAGACATAGGTGTCTTACGCAATGTGATTATTTTTCTTCAAAGTTTCGTAAAGTCGGTAAAATTTAGGCGTGGCGACGTTTACTTCACTGTAATCTATCGAATTTGAATCGATTCGAATTTATGGTAAAATTTCAATGCAATTCCTCGAATCGAATCTCTCGTAACCTATCGAAGCCTCGCGGCGTAGATTAGAGAGTAAACGATCAAAGCTTCGTCGATTCCAACTGACTCATTCATCTCTGTACAATTGTACCTTTCAAGCTTCGAGTGTCAGATAGAAACGAAAGTACACCTTCGTGCGTACTTCGACGTCTTTCTTTTTCACTTTCTTCCATCCCAGCATGTAAATGGCAGATTCGGCTGGGACCTAGCTTCACCTAAAACACGGATACCTGGGACTGTAAGGTATTTGGTAAAAGTAGAGCAGATTTATCTGGCGAGAGAATGCTCAGATTTTTTTTAAGATTTAAGGTGGCTATAATAACAGATTATAGGTATGGACGCCATTGCGAGAGACGCCTATGATGGGCATTTTGCAATTTGATATATTAGCAATGTTATTGTGCGCATATGGTAGCTCGAACGACGTGCTTCGCACGAGTCGCCATTAATTTTGATAGCGGGTCTGGTAGTATCGTCGCTGAAGAGGAAATTGCCAAAAGTCATAAACGCAATTTGAATCCACTTTAGCTACCCGAATTCATTATTGAATCCTGGCGATGACTTTTACTTTCGAATCTGTTCGAATTCTTAGTGTAATTCTTAAATAGCTCAAGAACTAGAGCATGTAATTATGTGGTAACAGTTAGAAAACCGAGCGGCTTAACAGAATGGAAAACAAGGTGTTAATGATAATTATTGCACTAATAATGAATTGAACGAGCTATGTACTCCAGGCGGAAGTAATGTAGTAATGGGACTTCCTAAAAAAGAGAGTGATACGACATAACTCGTGAATTGGAATTTCACTTTCTTTTCCTTTTAAATTATTTTTTTATTTCGACAGTATCTCTTGGATTTATATTACACTGATGGCATTCACTGTCGCGTTTCAGGATTCATGTAATTTTTTTTTATTCTTCACAGGCTTATCACGTGTGTCACGATGGTCGCGAAGGGCATCAAGGTGCGTCATTCTTGTGCACTAATGGCACTTTGTTCAATCAACTCGAATTCACCTGTGATTGGTGGTACAATGTCAACTGTGCCGATGCACCTGCACTGTACAGGTATGAAAATACAAATTTTAATTTTTACAGATATATTCGTGCCCACAGATTTTCGGATGTTTGAAAGCTCATAAATCATTGTCATTCACAGCTTGAATTTGGATCCTACAAAAAATCCATATATCCCGAGACCCAAGAAGGAAGAAGTTCAAGAGAAGCTCAGGATCGCCGTCTTCTAATTTACACGAGCATTTTCGCAAGTTCTGAGAGACCTCTTCGAATTTACGTGTTAACAGGAATTTACAGAATTCCTTAACTACTTGAGTTTCGTACTTCCCGCCAATTCAGTATGAAGGATTACAAGAGAGAAATTTTTTTCGTTAGCTTCATAATTTTTGAAACAAACGGCGATTCCTTTCATAAATATACGCGAATTAATGTAAAGTAGGATAAGAGCAGAACAAATTTGCAGTATTTTCAATACATTTCTAAGTAAAACAGAGTTAGGGAACACAGAAGTGAAGTGGAATTAAATAATAATAGCCGGTGGAAGATCCATGAATAATCGTTTTGATTAACAGCCGTTGTGCATACAGTAATTTAAACAATGAGTTTTGCAGTACTGTCATTAATTTATTGCCTAATTAATGCGACGCTTTTATAAAACTACACTCGATTAGTTATTTTAAAATAACTTAGAACCAATGGACCTCGAATAACATCATCCGGGGTCTTCAGCCTATCCCATAGACCTTCTGAGAGAATTCGCAAGTATTATCCTAAATGAACATAATTTTGCTATAAACTCGAAATAGTTATGTATTATACAAATCCATTATTTAAGTTATTACCCGTTGTACCGTGACATATTATTTTTCTTTACTAATCGTATTTTTCTGTATTTATTAAAAATAAAGGTGATTAAGTATCGTGATTCATAATTTTTTTAAATTTTCTATAATCCCGAAAATCTAAAAAAATAAAATAAATCTCTGTTAACCACGTGTTCCTGTAAACGTACTGGGTGACGAAGACAGCGCATAGATCTCTCGTGGGGAATTACAGGCGTTTATCTCTGCAAGGGCAGCTATTGGAATCCGTAGCAATTTCATTCGGATTACGAAAGGTACGTTTAAGAATGTCTTATTTCTTTTTTTTTGTTCTACATGATTTTCAACGTTCTCTCTAAAAGACTAGTGCGCGTTTCCATAGCGCAGGAAATACCGGCTGATACCAATTGATTGTGAGAAAGGTGTTTCCCATGAGAACGCATAGAAGTAAAGTCAAGGCCGTCGACGGGACTGTTGAAAGTCGAAGACTCGTAGGTGTTCGCCATCCTAGTTACGATTTCAAATAAGAGACGGTCTACTCTCTCTTACTACCTGACACGAAGAATTCAGTAAAAAGAAAAATCATAAAATCGATAAATTACGAAAATTCAGATAATTTCCCGATTTGAATAAATTTTCAATTTTATTTTCACCATAAAACCCAGTATATCCGCTATTAAAAACCATAGAGAAAATATTAAAATTTTTCTAACCCATCGGATTCCTTCAGCTTTACTCACCCTGCAACACGTATCGCCGGTCGTGCACGTGGGAAAATTCAATTTCTACCTAGACTCAAATCTTACACCGGGAAACACAAAGCGAAGGAATCATGATATTTTCCGACAACGAGGTTAACGAAGCTAGTAACAAAAGTCTAGCATTGTATTACATTGTTGGGAAACATCAGTATGCTATACAAGAATCCCATGCTGAGATTTCTCCCAGAGGCGACCATTCGCGTTCTTCGACATCTTTTCTCAAGGTGGAGACGGGATCATAATACGTAATAAGGAACCAAACTGGTCGGCGTCTAACGCAAGAGTTTTGTATTGTTAGTGAAAAGGTATAATTCTCATAGAATACGTTTCTCGGTACTCTGCTTGCCAATAACAGGATTTTGCTATTCTCCCCAAACTACAAGGAAGTAGGTCGATTGCTGGCTTGCTGGCGATGTTTGAATTTATTGTATTGCTAATTTTTTTTTAACAAGAATAATTAAACGATTCATCGATAATTCGTCGTTGGAAGATTGCTGTCCGATAATCGGTGCAAACTTTCATCCATTCAATAATGGACAGGTGAATGTTAAAAAGAATATTCGATTTATTACTCGTCGTTACACGACGTGATAAATTAGAGACTAAAAATATTTCACGATGCTTTTACTTTGATCCTCCGTAAACCCCATCGTTCATTCTGTATGATTTTTATTGCTTCCTCGTATTAACGACACGATTGCAACGTATATTGGTAAACTGAGCAATTTGCCAGTACAAATTGCATTTTTTTAATAGAGGAATTCAGTCTTCCCGTAACTTCGTTACGTTACACGTGAATTTCTAAATAACAATAATAAGTCAAGTAAAAAAAATGCAAAATCCCACAAATATTTGTTAAATCCATTTTAAGCGCGTGACAAGAATTCATTGCGTGGTTGACGTCGATTGAAAGAAAAAAAAATTACAAATTTTCTGCACGCTACTCGCAATCCTGTAATTTGTTATACAAGACTGACGAGCAATGATATTGCACGTTTATTGATTTCCGCGATTCTGCAGAATCCATTAACCCAAGAAAATAACTCGAAATCACGTTTTGAATCTGCGCAGAAATAATACGATCGTGCCGATAAATTTGTCCCCAGGCCTTTTCTCCACTTGGCTTTAAATTTTTACCTCGACTTCGTGTCACTACGTCATCTTAGTGAAGTAGCAGTGCAAGCGTAATGCATTGCTCCGTATATTACATAAGTAATTGTTCCTCGTCCCTACTTAGCGTTACTGCTCGGCTATTTTGCCATAACATCTTGCAAATACAATGCACTTTGCACGATAGCGAAAGAAAAGTTCACCAAAGAAATGCTCCTTTCATAAACTCCAATTGCAATGCTTCCAGTAAAACGTTCTTTTACAAAGTGGGGTAATCTGGATCCACAGTGATTTATGATTCCTCCACGTAAGCAGATGCCCAATAATTCCCCTTAAACACTCTTACGCCTGTATATTAATTAGGTTGCCCCTTTAATTAAAAAAAAAACCTAAAAACTAAAAAAATCCAATTTCTACAATCACCCCTTCCGCGATAAAAATCTAAAAATAAAATGGTCCATCCTCCAGCATCCTTACTCCGGGTATTTAATTCCTAGAAAAATCCATCGATCCATCGAACGGACCCCGGAAGTGTCAGGATTGCCTCTTTTCAAGAATAATTACTAGTATCTATACCGTTACGCTATAGGCCTTTGCCTTCGAGGTCTCCTAAGCTAGCTCCGTTCGATACTTCTTTTCACCATTACCCTCCATTTACATGAAATCTGAAAGACGTTAATCTGGTTGACAGATTACACAAGCAATATTCTGTTAACGAGGTTAAATCAATTTCCAGCCACCCTTGAGTTTTTTCTTTTACTAAAATTATTTTTGCACTGTCTACTACCTGCCTTTTTTTCAACGGCCACGAAGTCTCGTGAATTATCCCCTCCCGTCTCAGAAACGATGACAGGTCGAGAAATGAAAATGGGACACTTTTTTAAAATGACTTTTTAATGGTCCATACAGAATCGCTAACTCCTCGCTTTAATCTCACGACAAAGTGCTCTCGGATGACGTATCGGCTCGATGCAACGAGCGTCGGTCGTGCCTTCGTGAAATTCGAGGAGAAGAGGGGAAAGTGTATCGGATTGAGTCAGCCTGTGATTTTCACGCTTGATGGAAGTAACTGGATATCCGGAAAAGGGAGGCGTACGTCATGGGAACACGAGAGTACCGTAAGACAATGGAACAGGTATGTACTTTCGTCCATTAGCAAATAATACTGAATAAGGTATGATGGATCACATATAAAGGTCTACACGGAATACCTGGAATACATGGTACGTAAGCCGGAACGAGTTCTGGATTGTTGGATAATTACAGGTTTTAACAAACTAAGAAGGGATAAAACCAACGTGGACCAATTGCATTGTCTTTTTTTTTTACAATTTGTAAATAAATCAGTCAGTGAAAATTCACTTCTCTCTGACAGTCAATGGGTGCAACTGTCACGCTAGTGCAATCTTATCGAGCAGCGCGATAGGTTGCAATTAAACTTTCGAAAAATTTCAATCTTGAAAATTTTTTGCAAAAAGTATAAAATCCGCTTTGGATACTATTACCGGTCTTATTGGTTTGTCCTACCGGATACTCGCAATAATTTCATGTCAATTAGCCTGGAGAAACGTTGCTATTAAATTCTTTGATTTTATATAATAAACATAGTCGCTGTATATACTAGAAATATTAGCAAGGTATTGTTATTAAAAAAAATAGTACCTACCGACCGTAGAATCATCCATTTCGATGGCCATTGGTCTTGCGTAACAATACTAAACTTTTTTATCCAAATAATTTATACATACCTTGATATTGACTTTCTACAACTGAATTAGGAATCATTCATTCTGACACCAGCGCATTTAATATTCTACAGTTAAACGATTTTTAATGTTCCCGGATGTTTGTGCAAAAAAAGTAAAAAAAAAAAAATTTCTGCTTTGCCCAACAACTTTTCTGCCTTGATGGTCAAGGCTAATCGGTTAAGAATTCGAGTAGACCTTACTTTACGTGAGCAGGCGACTTGGTGACTATAAAGAAAAAAAAATTCAAGTAAAAGTAACCTCACGCAAGCACAATAATTTTCTCATATACATACTGTAACCATAGTTAGAGTATTACATAGTTTGCTAAATTTATAGTGTTGTATCAGCGGCGGTGTGATAATGACAAATGACTTAAGAAATCAGCCCAGTTCGAGAAATACGATAATTGCGAGTTATTCGCGGCTTAATATATCATATCGCAATCCTTAATTTGCTTAAAGCCATACCAAAGCGAGTCAAATGTACCAATTGAAATTCCACGCGAAAATATAATCGCTTCTATGAAAAATTCCATCCCCCTATAGTTTCCGTGTTCAATTCCGTGCATCGACTATCGATTGACACGGTACACGAGATAAAGGATATAAAGTTCTGGAGCGATGAATTATTAAAATTTATCATTATTATTATTATTATTAAAAAAAATTCAAACTCCCGGACGTAAAGCGATACAGATAATGCACGCGTGTGTACAGCTGTATTTCTTTTGACCGATTACCTTTCCCACGGCAGCTTATGGAAGCACAGCTCCGTTTATATTACCGTATATACAGTCGCTATTAGGTATCTAAAGTTAAGTAGGTACAAAAGATACATATATGTGGCGCTATGAGAAATCTCTGTCGTGGGCGTGTGTGATGCAATGATGCAACTTCAAGTGCACCGTCGATCGAGTTTGCAAATCGAACCTACTCAATCCCATTTCCGATCGTACAGCAGATAGAAATCCACTGATTGTAATTAAAGCCGCATTCGCATTAAAATCCCAGGGAAGAAACAGTGAATAAAGAAAAAATTTCAAATTGCAAAAATTTTAAGGATTTTACAATACAGCGTAAGAAGATTACGTTAGCTTAACAAATGAGAAAAGCCTGCATGAATTTCCATACTGATTATGTAAATTTTAACGTCAATCCCATTAAAAATCAGTCTGGGCGAATTAAGTGTAAAAAAATTTTTTTTTCACTTGTACACGTAACCCACGTGACTATAAGCCGGGTAAGTTTGAAATCAAGGGACATTCCGGATTCGTTCCCAGTAATCGAAATTCTAAAGTTTATCGAATAATTGGCCGGGATAAACGACGTATTGTTGGACAACTGTTTAATGGATCCCAGGCGTGTATTTAGTACTTAAGAACCAAGAGTTTCGAGTTCGTGAGCTCCCGCGTAAAAGTGGCGAACCACCCCAGTTCCCCACCTGGTCTAACCGGGCGCGGCCTTTCCCCTCGGTCTATAAAGTCACAAGAGCTCCAGTTCAAGCGAACATTCACTCGGCGCTCTGTTCACTCATTAATTCACCATGTGGCGGCTACTAATATTGGCAGGTGAGTGTGCTGCTACTCTTCGCTTCGATGGGACTGCTATAAGGGTGCTTTCGGGTGCGACCAATTTTTTTCGTGAATCTACCGAACAAAGAATATACAAAGAATAAATCAGAAGCATAGCTGAAACGATACTAGCGAATCTTCTGAAAGTGGAAAGTGCTAGTATATATCTTGTGACGTTGTCTGTATGAGGCACCCAGCCAATAATCGCGATCTAGAGATCCCATACACGGAAGTGGTGATAGGAAATTCTCGTGTCATCATTCAACGAGTGAAGTGATCGATTTATAGACGTAGCTGAGATCAATTTTTTTAGTGATTTTGACTAGTGTCAAAAAAATTTTTTTTTCATACATCAATTAGAATCATTAAAAATTTAACGGTCTCGAACGTAGATTTACGATTGAGAATTGTTTGAGAATTATTTATGAGAAACTTATTGAATTCGTAATGACTAGGAATAAATTTATGTATAATAACGTAAGAATATTTGTATCGAATTTTAATAATTCTCATTAAGCAGCCTTTTGTTATTACGGCTTATGTTCTCTGACTTCCGTCCCTCCCCCATCGAGGGGATTACTCGGGAATGAAATTGACCCGGCAACAACTTCCGATTAAATTAACTGTAGCTAGGCGCGCTTCTACCCGAGTACGAATGAAACTGGCGAGACGCCGCGCGTTCTGCATTTATATTAGAAAACGTACAAGACACTGACTTCCTTCTGCCGTTCGTTCCTGCATTAGCGTGTGTAGCTGCACCCACTCCGTTTCGAGGACTCTTGTCTCAGGAAACGCATAATGTACGAAACTCCATTCAACTACGTTGAAACTGAATGCCCTCGCTTGCTCTACAGTGTTTCGCCGTTAGAAGCCGGAACAGCGAGTACACGTTGCAAAGTATCCAACTTGGTCATAAAAACAATTCCTTCTGAAATCCCAACTGAGGTAGCATTAGTGGCTAAGGAATCGTGCATGTCGCAATGAGGAATTAGCTCTTGGCATTACCGCAGTAAAAAGTCCATTATTTTGAATCATAGAGTCTCCGGTCGTCTGGCATTTCGAATGAAAGTTATCTCAATTAGACCCTAGTACACTCGAGGACGCATGGGGCTGCTGTGAATTAGAGATTTGCTTTTCTAACCTCTCCGTTCGCTTCCGTAGACTTTCCAACTCGCCAGGAGGCAGCCGCCACTTTACCGGCTAATGAAAGAACACGAGTTTTCCAAGACAAATAAATAAACAGACTTGTTCAAATAATCTCAAAGCAAACACTTATACAGCCAATACTACATAGATGCTTGTAAACGCATAGGCGCCAATTTCACTCGGTATGTAACTAAAATTCTAGTTCGCTGTTTACGCGTAATTAAAAAGCAGGTTCTACGTAAATTCTTCCAACATTCCACTATGAATTAATACAACGATGCAGGGAACTGGAACGGTATGGTAGCTCATTTTAGGAATTTCCTAAAATTATAATTATACAAATACGTAAGATACATTCCGTAAATTAGTAAGTCAACATAACCTAAAAATCCTATATATTGAATCGCGGATAAAAAATTTGAAAATTTCCTTATTTTCAACTATAGTCATACGGAGCATTAAGTCTGTATAAAGGGTGTTTGAAAAATTGTCAAATTCCTAGAAAAGGCATGAGTGAATCTTGTGAAAATAATGAATCCAGAACGGCTATAAAGTCTCACACGCTCAAGTCCCCCATTGGGAAATCTTATTCCGACGTAAATAACGTAGCGGCTGTCTCGATCGCCTTTCTAACCGACGAGGATACGTGCCAGCCCTGCCCTCGTATTCGCGAATAGCAGGATTGGCGCACTCACGGCATTTCGCGAGCAGGTGTGGGTGACTCGATTCCTTCTAGTATGCACTGCCGCGAGACGGAAGTTTGCAAGGGTTTGCTAAACGCCCGAGAGCCAAGCGGAAAGTGAAAACTAGTGCACGGCTAGTCTCGGCTGTCTTGGCTATCTTAGGCTCGATAGGTCCAGATGCTGGAGGCTGCACGCAGCTGCGCTTTTACCTCTTGCATCCTACGCGATAAAATATTGCCTTTTAATCGGTAGCTCGATATCGATATCTGATTTTTAATTTAAATTCGAAGTTCAAAAAATTTTTTGTTATCTCATCAGGATTTATGTACGATCCGCGATTCGAATTGACGGGACATATATATATATATAGGGAACAATGGTACAGACACTTTATGGAAGTGGCGGCAACGCAACGCAGTGCAACTTCCATTGCGGTAACACTTGGGAGTTAATTGCATCGCAAGGGGGAAATTTCGGTGCAATGCAATGCTGCACTCTTGCCGGTGTTGCAACAGGAATTGGATGGAGTTGCGTTGCGTCTGCCAGCCATTCAATTGGTACGTAGTCATTAGGCGCTGAAATAGGATCCCGGATACGGGAAACCGGATGTACTCGTAGCTATGATTTGATTTGAGATTATTCAGAGTACGCTGATAATTCCCACCTTCGGTAGGAGCAATTAGCATTGTTTCCATGTGGGCGACTAAGCGCCTCGTATTCACCAAGTATTTCCCGTGCGTCGATATTTACGACTCCGACGTTTCCTGAATTTGGCGTAACTTCTTTCCGCCGAGAAAACAAATTCACTTTCTTCGTAACGCGTCGTTGTATCACGCTCCACTCAGCAGCATCCAATTAAATTTCCATAACGCGACGGGAGAACACTTTAACGCTTAATTTCCGGTTCTGCTTCTACGCGAACCTTCCCGGCGCTCCTTTCGTTTTGTTTCATACTTTTCTAGGCTTCAATCTTTTATCCCCGTTCATTCTCTCTCTCTCTCGCTCTCCTCACTCCATCCTGGATAAATTGAATAAATTCCCTGCTAAATAACACACTGCTGGTTTTCTGGATTCAAACGTCACCCAACCACCCACTTCATACGGTAGCTACACACGTATATGCTATAGGCTACATACTGTGACTGTTTTTTTTCAAACCGAAGCTTCCACGGCTCTCAATCCACTTGCAAGCTTGACCCTTCAACTGGAAATTTTCGACACTTTTGACGTGCCAATTAGTCTCACTTCCTGGGGAAGCTCGTTGACCATCCACAAGGGAAAACGACTGGGGATAATATTTTCATAAGTTAAACCAGACGAACTCGTTCGCTCTTTCGTATACTACGTTAATCACTAACACGTGCACCAACCGAAACAATTTGCCCTGTTCTCACGAGGGAAAGTATACCGACTACCTGAGTAATATCGACTAGCCCAACCAGCTGGTTTGACATATTTTTTACAGGCACGTGCACACAAGGCTGCCGCCTGTAGGACTGGATAATTGGCCCAGTGTCCTTTGCTAACATGCACGCCTATCCTCATGTCTAGTCTCAGTTTGGTTATAATTAGTATCCAATTTATATCAATACCCAAAACAAACTGTGCGCCCGCAGAGTGAGTTCGCGAGTTTACCTTGTTTGTTAATTAGTCGGAGTCTCACCCGGGAGGATGTTACTAAACACGAGGTATCATCAAAGTAACCTGCTGACTGCGAAGGAAAACTTGCTCAACCGTACGAATTACGTTTTTTCGTGGAGTATCTCGCAGAAAAACTGAGAACAAAGGATACGGATATTTTGACGCTTCGCTCGAATTTTCGTTGTCTAGGTAAATTACGTAATTGGTAGTAAGAAAAAAAATCCCGAGTTGACAATACAATTATTTGTATAGCTGTATCTTCTTGTACTGTTCTTTTTTTTTTGTAGTCCAGACTTTCAGTTTCTATGACGTAAAATCGCTATGTCGTTCTCGTCTCGGTTGTGGGCGACTTTCGCGAATTCTTCGCTGACCACAGTAAAAGTTGAGGGGACGTGATAATTATACGAGACAAAGGTTACGGCTGTTGCGGTTACTGGGACGGAACTCCTTTCGAGTCAATTTTATGTATATTTCCCTTGTACACGTTCGAAATGGCCGACAATGCATCCCTGTGCTGGGATGCACTTGGTTTGTTTAACTTTGTTCGAAGGGAGGGTAGCGGTTATAAAATATAATGATAATATTTCGAGCTGTGTTTGTCGCCCTGTGTTTGCGTGTTACGATCGCATTTACGAGTCTTCTGGAACACGTGATACGGTTATGCAGCGGATAAATTGCATCGATGTAATTCGGTTCGTCGTCGATGCGTGTTTTATGCACAATTACGGCCAACTGAACGTGGTTTAACCGGAGCTCGACACATTTCATTGCGTATAGCAGAATTTGCCCATTGACGGAGAATTATAAATGTACGACTCGCATATCGGATTGCAATTCAAATACGAAAACGGTCGAATCGATATATTTTATTCCGTGCTACGTAATTTTATTCTTTCTCTTTCTTCTTTTTTTTTTCAATTAACTCGCCGCTCAATGAGCTGCGATTTTCAATTAACCCGCCTAAATTTATTACTCTGTTATGCAGCCCATTAATTTCACGGTGACGAACAAACGTTTAAAGTTAACTGGCGTAACTTGTTAAAGAAACGTCGGACTTGAATGACGAATTTACTTTGCATTAAAATTAATGGCTTTAATTTACCCAGCAAATTTATTATACGATAATCTTATAAATCCTGGAGAATCCGCAATTTCACGACGTTTGAATGCTCCGAAAATAAACCTGTTATATTAAAAACGAGTTGGTCGACCCCAAGTGCCGTTTCAAACGGTATACCTACTTTGTACTATCTGTCGCAACAAATAGGGCAAGTAATTGGTTTAAAAAAAAATTAGAAATTTCAAAGAAAGACGAAGCAAGTTTTTTTACCAGTTTATTTCTCACCTATATAAAATCTTGACAACTGACTCACTTTTTCTTAATGATTATCATTTTCACTCGATTTGGCATATTTTTCAAAAAAAAATTACAAGCCTTTTATTTTGCTCGTAATTTCACACAAGCCTCTCAGTATTTTGAGATTCGATCGGCACCTTTTGCACCTTTTGTGACCCAGTCTCCTCGGGACTTCTCGATGATCCGATCGGGAAAACCTGCTCGGAAAACCTGCACTGGAAACTCAGGCTTTCTTCGCGATCTTCGCGTCAAATACCGAAGAAGGTCAGCACGGAGAACTGTGGGAAGCAAATATGTAATCCGGTCATTACTTAAGGATGCGTACTTGGGGACAAATATAGCTATACTTCCTCCAACAAAAGTAAAACTATTCAAGTATCATATTCATCCTCCAGATCGCCTTTAGGATCACGTAACAAAAAGTGACTGAAAAAAACGTCACAAGATGCCTTAACACCCGGGTACAAAATTTCCCTCGAAACAACAACCTCTCCCGAGTCCCGAATACCCTGGTTCAAGGGAAAAATAAAAAATGGGATAAAAAGAGAAAATACGTCGAAAGAGAAAATGACTAATAAGGTTCCCATGATGAGAGAAAACATTACAGCAGACGTAAGGAAATAGATTGAACCTGCGTGAAAGTCTTCCGGATCACATTACTCTTGTCTGCTATTAAATGCCAGTTTGAACAGTAAGACACCCGGTAGATCCACGTAGCTTCGTAATTGCAAGATTTTATCTCACGCCAGATTGTTTTCAGCACTGAAATCGAATTTTGCTTCTTCCAAGTGAAAAGATCAAAAAGATCTGTCAGCTGGGGTATTGCAACCCAGTCAGGCCTCCCGAGCAGTTCCGTCCCGTGAGAGAACCGGAGCTTTCATTTCCTTGACAAAATGACAGAGGACGGGTAAAACGTGCGTGGAACTAGACACGTATCGCAGACAGTGGAAAATTGAATTTCCACGAACGACGGATTTCTATAAGCAAAGCCAAGAGGTCGCTCGATACTTTCGGCAAAGTCCTGCCATATAAACCCAATGTAATCGCCATAGGCAAGGCCGGCGCGCTACTCCGATTTCGCAAGGATCGAATTAGTCGACGGACCATCCGTAGACCTAATCGTCGTTCATCGTTTCGCAGTGACTAGATTGATCACAGTGTTCGTCATGCGTGTTCTGGCCCAGCGACCAGCACGCAACGTCGAACATGAACTCGTGGGAAAAGTCTTGAACAATATATACGGGACCATGTGGAAACTTTCCCTATGCACGCAACTTTCCCAGCTGTGCGAGTCAAGCGGAAATCTGAGACGGCCATTCGAATGGCACAGTTTGCGAATAAAACGAATAAGCAAAATGGCCGACCTACACATATGCTTATCCCGTTTGGGATCTGTTGGCTATACTTTTTTAAAACCTCCGATACTTCGATAATTTTTCTCACTCTGTCCAACAGGTCTTTTGGCGGTCTCCGCGGAAAAGGAAGCCGTCCCGGTAGCTTCGGAAAAATCGGAATCGTCCGGTGCCGATGATCTCGTAATGCTGGAGATCGACATCAAGGAACCTGCTAAGAGATCGCCGATAACAGCCAGCGCCGTATACGGCGCATCCCCGAGTCAATATATCATTCGTCACGGTGACGACGCCCAAGAGGTAAGACTAACGGGGCGTTCGATATTTGATAATAACAAAAAGTTCATGGGTGTCCCGAAGGATCTATAAGACTGTGCGCCATGGAGTGACGTATCGCGTGAAAGTATATCCTGAAGTCGAATGATCTAATGGTATTCCGGTTGAACTAGTTTTCCCTATTGAATGCACGTAGGCGCGTATCCTGTCCAGCAAAAGTAATCTCATCTCTGGTAGTACGATATCATTTTGTATCCCACAGCAGCTTCCGTCAAAGCTCAGGAAGTTTACTTTTATTTATATAACTATATATTGGGCACGGATATATTAGCGAGCAAAGTCCTTTCCATCAAGCGTGACCATTGGCCGCCTATCACTGGGAGTAACTAGCCATGAAAAGATTTTTCGCACAGCCCTATATGTATATCTATACTGTGCCTATAATAGTTTCAGGATCTGCACGATCTGTCGTAACGAATCGTGTATCAGTCTTTCCATTACTTTCGATCTCCCAAGTCGTTTCCAGTTACTCTAATATTATCTGTATACACGGTGCACGGACCTAGTGATTATACGTGTCCGATACGAGAATCACGCAGATCATTTCCGTGTTTATTTAATCTGAAGTAATGATGATCACCGGATTTTTTTTTTTTGTAGCAGGGAGAAATATGCTTGGTGAAATTATAAGAATCGTAGGGCGCAGAAGAAAGTTCGGTTGAATTTAATTTTGTGACTTCGTCCAGTCTTAAAGAATACTTGGATCCTAACGTCCATCTAGCACGACGACTCGTTGACTCGTTTCTTGCATAAGCGGTCGGGTTTACGCACGTTCTAATCGCAGAGTGCGCTTAGGTCCTCTCTGTCTATCTTGGCGAACCGGTAAAACCACACCCAACCACTAAGCATAGATCGGAGACTGTTGGAGTGCCGGGGTGACTCTCCTAGCATTTATTAAAAGGCCGTTTGGGTTGCGAGCCAATGGCCTTGCCCGGCCGTCGTCACGGATGACTCATTAGAGCGGCGGGTCACAGGACTCGGGCAACTTATCGGAAATTCATTACCATTAGCTTCTTCGGATAACACTGAAACTTTCGAAAATTCTCTATTTGCTTTTGCTTCACGGCTCAGCGAACTCGAAAGTACAATAGATAATTGATTGTTGGTATGAATTTATACTGTCCATGAGTCTGGATAAGGCATCAAGTTTCTTTATGAAAATAATTCGGATTCATGATGCGAGGAGACTAGGCCATTTTGTCATTTTTTTTCTGAGTCGCTTTGGCGGAAAGAAATTTTCAAAAAAAATTGCTTCCATGGGGCTTTTGGTACTTCGAAGTCATAAGCCCGTCCTTTCACTTAGGATTGATTCCGTCAGTCGGCCTATTCGCATTGATTTACTTCACGAAACGAGTGGCTGATCGAAATGATACAGTTAATGCACGTGACTAAAATCATTTGAATTGCAGAAATTGATGAATATAGATGGATGATTTCCAGCGTATGAAAGGAGCAGTCAATTGCGCAATGTAGAAAGTAGCTATGTTTCCCGATCGGAGTTTATTAATTATTTATCAGCTGGGAGATTGAAGTTTGAAAATACTTTACTTAACGATTTAATGGTGCCGATCGTATATATTATTTTAATTTAGCCGTGTGACGTTTCTAGCACCAATATCGCACAAAACTCTATATGTCAATAATGCTGAGCGTTTAATGGCGCTCCGCCGCAATATAATGTCTCTATTGACTGAATATTTCATGACGCGTTATATGGGGTACATTGGCGAATTATCATATTTCCTACATTATGCCTCCAATCGACAAATCAATTATGCATCTGTTTAATGTTTCCCGGTCCTGTTTAATTGCTTCGTTCTTTATTACTTTAACGATCGTATAGGTTAGCATTGGGTAATAAAATAAAACCGAATAATTTTGTCATGTTCTGTTTAGTTGTCACCGGAATATTTGTCGCTCCTGCAACAATACACGCAAGCTCAACCTCAGCCGTATTCAGGACGTGCGGCAAGTCCACCTGAACGTCGACCACTTCCTGCTTATGCCAAACAACAGCAGCAACTGCAACAGGCGTATCAGAATCAACGCGTTCCTGCGGTAGTCCCACCCAGACCTCGAGCTCAACTTCACTCTCAGGCCCTGGCCCAGGCTGAAGCGGCTGCTCAACTTCAGGCTCAAGCGGACGCTCAGTCCCGTGCCGAAGCACTTCATTCGGCTAGGCTCAGGGCAAGTTCCTCCAATGCTCCCGTCTACCAAACAGCAGGGCCAGTTTACAGCGATCAAAAGCTCGGTACTTTTGAACAGGAATTGCTGCAGTTGGTAGCGGCGAATCAGGCTCAGGAATTCAAGCTCGTTCCTGCAGTGCCCAAAAGACTTCTGAAGCAGCAGGCTTATCCTCAGTACGCGCAGCAGTCTGCCAGCTATCCTTCGCAGTACGTCAAGGCTGCTCCTGAACCAGCTCAGGCGCCGGAGCAATACCATATCGAAACAACCGTACCAAGGTATCACCAAGCAGCTCCTGCTTATCAGGCTGCAGAGGAGCCTGCTCAAGTTCAATATCAGGCAGTCCAAGTTCCGGTTCAGGCGCCTGAGTATCATGCCAAACAAGTCAGGCCATTCAGACCTTCACCGCAGTACCCCGATGCAGAGGAGCAAGGGCAACTGAGGGCACTGCAACAGGCGCAGGCTCAGGCCGAGGCTCAGGCTATTGCCCAGGCTCAAGCTCAAGCCGAAGCTCATGCTCAAGCATACCAAAAAATTGCTCAAGCTTCCCACAACAAGCACCAGGAGGCAGCTTTCGAACAAATCCGCCTGGTGAATGAACGTCACAGACAACAAACTGCCTTGGAACAAATTAATCAAGGCGCTCAACTGAGCGAGGCCGGACGTTCTCATTTGGAGGAACAAGCCCCGACCAAGGACCCTGAAGTTGCGTTGAAAGCCCAATTGAAAGCACAGGCTCAGGCCGAGGTCGCCGAAGCGCGACGAGCTCAAGAGGCTGCCGAGTACAAAGCTCACGCCGATGCCATTCTCCACTTGCAAGCTCAGCAACAGGCTCACGTGAAGGCCCAGGAGGAGGCGCACAAGAATGCTCTTGCCCACGAAAGAAATCAACTTCGTGCTCAGGCTCAGGCTCAAGCCTTAGCGCAAGCTCAGGCAGAGGCATTGTACAAAGCTCATCAGCAGGCACGCGCCAAGGCCAACAACGAAGCTTTGACTGCCGCCAGAGCTCAAGCGGAAGCTAGAAAAATTGATCCCGAAAACACCCCCGTCATTCAGTACCTTCTGCCCAACAGTGCGCCACTGCCGTCCCCTAATAGTTACTTCACCAACGATCAGGTGCAAAAGTATCAAGGCGCCGGATCCTCGTACGTTCCACGTGCAGCTCCTAAATCTCCCGTCGCCGCGAGCAGCAACGAGGAACAGACTTACGCTCAGCCAGCAATCAATCAGCCACGTCAGGCACACAAACACAAAATCCCCCAGACGTCCCAATCGTCGATCTACGTAACGCAGTCCGGCCATTTGAAAAAGTCACCAGTCAAGTCATTAACCATCGAGGAGATCATCGAACAAGATCAGCTTAACAGCCCTCAAGTGGTACGTCTACCAGCATCCAAAGGACAACAACCGCTGACGCAGGAGGATCTGGCCGTCCTTATTAACGCTGGCTACTCCGTGACTCCTGTACCAGACGTCGCCAAGCCTACTCAGCAATCCTATACCGAGAACACTTCCGGTGGATATTACACGAAGAAGCAGAGAAGTCCCGTCGCTAGACCCGAGTACGAGAGCTACGAGGAGGCTGCACCGCGTCAAAGAAGACCCTTGAGGAAGCAGAGGCCTATTTTGAAGCAGGACGAAAGCACTGTCGATGCCAGTGAAAAAGTAACTTATCTAGTACCCCTAGAGCCTGCTTATGGAACCAGGCAGACACCGTTGAGACGCACCGCCGCCGCCGAGGAATAAGTATCGTCTTATCGAACCATTTCACTGGTTAGCCTGATAATCGTATTGCGTTACTTCGTTCCGGATACTACTTACGGAATGGAAACTTCGATTTACTCTACTCAATGATATTACCTACCTACTTACTGCCTATTACATAGGAAATCGCAACATCTTCAGGATGGATTGGCGACTTTTTTTTTATTAGACCTTTTTTTTATACGAATCCCTTTACATATTTTTGATCATTCATGCTGCATGGAAAATCATCGAAGGAACCGACGCCTGTGCAGATCCTACGACCGAAGGGAGTCAGCCGTTAGATTTTGCTGAATAATTCATTTTCATGGATCCTTTATACATTAAATGTTTTTTTCTTCCCCATGTTGGTTCAATCGATTTTTATACCTTGTATTTTTATTCGCTTTTTAGCATAATGACTTAAGGAAAGTATCGAATCCCAAGATGGCCGATTTTAGCATATTTAGTATCGGTGCTCGCGACGCTCACGTCGTCTCTGCGTGACGTCAATGCAATGGCGTTCGAACCGATTAATTATTAATTTATAATCGTTTGTAAATATTAGAAACTAAAGGAAATAAAATTGTTAAAAATCTTTTCAAGATTTAAGACTGCCTTTATTTACACGACCCACCATTCATAGTCAGAACGCGCTGACGTCCACACGATTGTCTGTAACCACGGCCAAAGGTTCGCCACGTTATGGAACAACGTTACAACCCAGTAGCGGGCAGAGACGCCAGAAATAAAATATCTATAATTGCCATACGGGATGAGTAACGTTCACCAAATAGCTATAGAACGGCGACTATAAAGGTGCAGAAGCATAAAAGAGTCATGATAACTGGCTGAGAAAGAGTTACGAGTCATTAAAATTATCTTGGACGAATTATCTTCGTTATATTCGTACCAACGTTGCTTCTCGGTCCATAAATAAAATAACCGAAAAGAAGAAAAAAAACACGTGGACGATATAAAGAGAGCGAGGCGAAGTACAAGCAAAGAGAGTGTCCAAGACCAAATATGAAATCGAATCTGCGATACTGCTGCAGCTGCAGTTGCATCTGCAAAGTGCTGTGTCATCGATAGAAATTCTATCAGGTCGAAGGCGGCCGCTTGGCGACACGAAGAATGAGTTGAAAATTGAATTCCAGCCGGATCCAGCGCAACGACGTAAAGTAACGTGGAGAGTATCTCGATTGCGTGGCGTTGTCAAAATTTCGTAATCGGTTTCGAGCACACCTTACGATCCCTGCGTCGGGCGAGGTTGCGTCAAATTGAGGACCCGCCCTGAAGTTCGAGACAGAGGTTCAAGACGAGCCAGTAAGTAAAGCGGCGATCTACTTAGCAAATACCTTGCGAAACAAGCCACCATAGCCGTCACGGTCGGGCATCGGCTCGTTCGACTGTTTCAGCATCAAATAAATCCTCTCCACTTTGCGAAGCGATTATAACGTAAAACTGTGCTAACGGGGAGTAGCTTTGAAAACCAGTGGGAATATAAATACGACAAGGTTACCAGTTTGTCAATTGCGAATATCGACTCTTTTATGGGTTTCGCGATCGTTCGAACGAGATTAAAAAGAATTATCCCATCTGGACAGGCACGAGATCAAGAATGCCAAGTAAATCGTGGCTGCCGTACGCCGCTCGACCTTGCACGATATTTGGATCAGGAACTTCCATTATGAAACCAGCCCATAATCTGGTAGCCGTAACGCTGTTCGTTCCAAGTAGAAGAAAAGTGACGAAGGACGATTAAAAGACCGAGACTCGACTTTATACCGTTTACTTCGTCGTTCCTTCTTCTTCTTTTTTATTTTATTTTTTTCAAGCCTTTCTCACCAACGGCTGCTGCGAAAAACATTAGAAGTGTCGAAACTTTTTTACACCGGGATTTTCTATTGCCGTCAATTAGTACCTTGGGTTGATATAAAAAACACATAGGGACAGCCGATACCTTTTCAATGGCTTTTCGAGACGAAGAGGGATCCTATCTGCAGATGCAGTCAGATGCACCTCGCCATGCCAATAATTGCACTTGCGACGAAATGAGGTATGAGCTCGATTAGGTAGACAAGTGGAACAATGCTCCTGAGAATGTAACGAAGGTTTTACATAACCAGGTCAGGTACCTTGAATTCGTTTAAACTCAAAGAAACGGACGTCCTTTCCTCCACTACACTATACGGGAAGATTAGAAATAAGATTTTTTCTGGCATCCGGATTACAGTGAATTTTTCTTTAGGTTAAATCACCGTTCGATTCTATATTACTTTAATTTTTCATCTCTCCAGAAATGATCCTTAGATATGATTCGAGACTGATATCGCTTCATTAAGTAATAATTGTTTATGCTGGTATTTCAGTGAAAATTAATTATTGGTACATAGGGGGTGCCTTATGCTTGTAATTGAAATACGCGTGCGCACAGCTGTGATTCACAGGCAGAAATAATTATCAATTTACTCGAAGGCAATTAACACCCAATTAAAATTATCCCAAAAGCTGCATTTTTTTAATCTTTCTTTTTACATATTTCCCAGGCACTAAATCCTGCTGCTAATAGACATTAATAATTATGAAACGTACACAGCAATTTCTGATCAAGCCCCAAAGCGACATTGAACAAAAGTTTTAATGGGTCGAAATGAAGGTGTTGATTAGTGGAAAATTTAATACAGACGTAACCTGGTACTATTTATTTAGCTTCGAGCTAAGGTACTGACCTAGTCTATCTAATAAGATACCTTTATCCTGTGTGTACCAAAAAAAAGTTGCAGTGTAAGAAAACTCTGTATACGACACAGATTTTCCTAGTCACGTGAATTTACGAAATCAATGACTCATAAGAACAACACAAGGATCGCAGATACGGAAATCCAATCACGTTCTGCTCAATATTATTCTTTACCAAGGATTACGTATCGGTCTTTAAGCGAAAGTTAAGTTCATACTGCAAGTTCAACTGAACAAAATTTCTATGCGGTTCACGAAATTGGCAAAAACGTGTCGAATAACGGAAGTGTCACATTATTTATTCCGGTTCTTAATGTTCCTCACCTTCCCATATCGCCGAGCATTGTCATTAAAATCAGGCATAAAGAATCACGCACGCGTCCGATATCGGCCGATCAATTATATTCGAGGTTATAACACTTCCTGGATTACTGGCACCCAGGTAAAATATATCTTTACGGTTCGATGAGATCGCGAAAAACATCCTGATGAAATTGAACAGGTTTAACGCGTGCTGGAAGTTGGGCGAAAGAAGTGGCAAGGTCTCTGTCATGTAATCCGTACTTCATTGTCAGAAGTCGTAAAGTCGTTCTGGGCTAATGCGAGTCAAATCACTGGATTAGCTAATAGAATTTGCATTTGAATGCAATATTAAAATTAGAGTACCAGTTAATCAGTGAAATGACAGAAAAGTCACCGACTCGTCACAGATTGAATATACAGAGTAAATCATAGATAAAATTTATTAGACTAATTGACACAAATTTTTCGCTCAGATTCAGACTCGATTAACCATATATCTGCGAATGCATAATTAATAGGAGTAAAGTCCCAAGTAGATCCTATTTTGCCATCGCCTGTGATATCGTTCGATCCTTAGGGCAATTATTTTTGAATCTCGACTAATGATATAGCGGAGGTCATCCGGTTTTTAATTTAAGATTTATTAACGAGCTAATAAATTATTCCCAGTCGCTGCATTGAGAAACAAAGCAACCGGATCTTTTGGATATTCGTTACAGGCACGGCCGATAAATAATTTACAAAAGGAATAAATAATATCTTCCCTCTTTCAATCTGCTGGCCTTGCGCAATATATAACGCCAAAAAAAACAACATCTACAAACCCATCCGACCGATATATCTGGGATTCCGAGTAACGCGTGATATTTCACACGACAGTGCGATACACAGTAAATGCAATTCCACGTAACGTACACGCTCCTTCTGTACTTTACGTCGTTATATAAATGTCTGGCAATGGGCGTGATCGGCTCTGAGAACATGTCCAGATATTCCAGTATGCACTACCGAGACATACTAAGTATGCAAGAAGGAGCAACGAACGAGTAAATACGAAATGCCTCGCTTAGGAATTCTCAGCTGTGCGCGTAACATTCTGCTCTCTTTTCGGGGGGACCTCTCGAAACTCAAGTAATTGCGCAATTGCAAAACTGACGTAGTCCTCTATATCGCGTTCTGAAATTATTGTAGAACCATAGATCAGACGATTCCCTGACTTTTATCTTGCTGGTATAAGTGCGGCGTGAAAAAAAAAAAGGTTAAAGAGAAAAAATGTGCACTCAGTACTAACCGTGGCGATTGATTTGACGTCAGGCGTAAAACAGCGAACCAGCGAATATCCATTGCCGTGGATGCACCACCCAACGTGCAGTGAGATATTAATGACCGTGAGCAATTGATTAATCTGAAAGCAGCACGCGGGATAGGACAAACCTGAAGATCGGATCGCGAATGTATTTTCGCAGGTTTCTCATCGGCCGATGTGCAAAGTGCATCTGGGTGGGAAATCGGGTCGATGCACTTTCGGTTGTTGCACGTTTCGGTGTTTTGGATGTATCTATCTACGGTTATGTCTTGGGTAGAAAGCCTTTGCGTAATGCACCGTAAAGAATTGTTGGCATTATTGATGGTGGTGCACTGGCGTCGAGGGCGACGTCGACGCATCCTGGCGCATGTGCGCGTATAATTTACGCATAAAATGCACCCGGGAGCTACCGTGATAATTCTTTGGGAATTTCGTCATCGTGTTTCTATATCGAATTATGAGGAGGATCATTACGTAGACACTCCCTATTTGGAGTAATTCGATCGTTTGGGATCAGAGATCGCAAGATACGATTTCGTATGTCCCAGTTACGATTCTGTGGTGATCCATATGAAAAAAAAATTTCGCTGATAACCTTGATTTATATAAAAGGATATATTTTACAAAAAAAAATAATTGTGGCTTAACAATATTTGATATGAATATAATAGCTGATTTTCGCGATATTTTTGTTTTGGAAGTGAATGTCGGATTTCGAAAATTTAGTACGTGCTAGGATTGCGCGAGTTCGAAAATGACCTAATGTCCCAAGAACGGGTGGCGTGGGTTTCGGCGACTGGGTTGGAATAGATCGCAGGATCTATAGGAGTGTTTTGGAGGATCGCTTAAAATGTATACGATTGTCTCGCGTGCACTGGTTACAGCAAATATTACGCAAGAAAAAAAAAGAAGCGGATCGAACCCAACCCCATTCAGTGAAAACCCTGAAATTATCCAGATCAACCAGATCGATATCGATTCGTGGATCGTCATGTTTCGTCCACGATAAAATAAAATGATTCCCGTGCATTACCGTAATCACGATCTTATTAACTCGATCCTGAATGCAGATATACATGGTGTGCCAATCGAAAGGAGTCTTTAAGAATTTGTCTCAAGGTCGCGATACGTGTCACCCAAGTGTACAAAACCCTTTATAAGAGCTTATCCAGACAACCTGACTTCTTAAACTACCACAAGTCTAAATGCATAAATACATAAGTACCCGATAACTGCCTGAACTGAAAGTACTTTCCGCTCTCAGCTGCTTAACTTGCTCCTGTCTCGCGGAAATTCTTTTTTTTTCAAAAATAATCACGTCAAGATCGATCGAACCCAACACCCACTGTTAGGATCCGGTTACCCACACGGATGTCCAAGTCAGCCGCAATCCACTTGCGTAACGTCCAAGAGACATCGTAACCATGATCTATCTCAAGAAATAAGTACAGTCTTATTGAAAAACTTAGTAAAATCCAAATACAGAAAAAAATCGAAAATTATCATCATAAGAGAATCGCACTTTACAAGGTGCAAGTACACAAAAAAAGTCCCAAGACCCAGACTTCCCTCGGACGCAGTGTCGCAAATTGTAAACGCCTTGCAGAATACGATCGGTACGCTGAGGTTGCCGTAAAAGGCAAAAGAACACGAAGACATAAGCCTTATCGACACTCGGCAAAACACACGTACAGCACCACCTTTCGCCGCTCGAATCACAGAGCGAGATCTCGATCGTGCGTTTCGAAAAAGTCAAAATTATCGAACTCGGCGTGAATTCGACTGACCAATCCGAAAAGTTAAACCAATAGACTTGGATACCGAAGTTAAGAGCTCAATACGGCACGCGTCTTTGTTCGATCGAAACGTGCCGGAGCGTCGAGACGTCACACGTCACTTTTATAATTGTTCCTTTCACTCCGTCAGTCAAGCATGGGAGGTGTGGTTTACTATTGGCTATTAAACTCTCAGTACGGACTTATCTATGCTTCCTTTAATTGACTCATAGCTTAAGGTCAAGGACACCATTATCTTAACAAAATTCAACAATTTTAATTCATTCGATAAGCTGTGTTTTTTTTTTGGAAATTTTTCTTGCGGGACATTCGTCACGAATTTTAGTCGATTTTTATCGTTTTTAGGACAAGTGTCCATTCGACGAAATTTTTTCATAAATCAATACGGACCTTGGTATTATGAATAAGCAAAGTGGGTCTCGGATCTAGGAAGGTAAGGAAAGTACCCTTTTCACTTGCAAATGAAAAATTCGTAACGATCGATCCTCGTGTTAGCCGTCATCGGCATTGTGTAGAATTTACACGGAGCGAAGGGAAGCACGACTTGCATATAAATCACGGATTCGATTGTAATTATAAAGCGTTTGGAGTATCGATCAGGCGATGTATCAAAGTGTACCAAAAAGTTTCACTTTTAATTTCTTTTGCTTCTAGGATATTACCCAGTAGGCTTTTGCTGAATGTCCTATCATGAGCGGCCACGATTGCGTCATCGGTAATGGAAACCCAACAGATTGGGCGGACAACGCATATACACTATGGTGAATTGGACAAAAAAATGGTACGATTTAAAACGGATCCTTATTTTGCTGGAGTATAATAATAAAGAGCTTTGGCGTTATATACGGTTCTTTTCGATAATCACAAATAAATGGTCGGTAATAACTTATTATTGATTGCTGCTCTCAATTCTGTTTCGAGATGGTATAATGAATTTACCATGCAGCGGATGCACATTGGGTTGAGAATATATATATATATACACGTGTGTATTATGAAATCTATAAATTCATTTACTCCAGGTGCAGGGCTGCCAACGCACTCATGCTAAAATAATGAAGAAGATTTAATTGGAATATCCAATCTACACATACATATTAATTTAAGAAATTTATGAGGTGTCGATGGCGATCTACATGAATTTACAAGCTGCTATCTGATCTTTCGGAAGGACCTAATTGACTTTTAAAGAATATATTGATTTTATTGATTCCTATCGAAATTTCTTCATTGACGAGAGCCTTCGTGTCCCGTTTGATCCTCTTGCTCCAGAACGTCAAGAGTCTTAACTGCCGGCAAATTGAAAACGAGTCCTGGCGTTACGTAAATGCGATCTAGTTCTGTAAAAGGATTCCTTATACAACAAGATCGATAATGTCCGAAAGACTAACAATTAAGTTATTACAATCGAGAGTAAACTGCGACTATAGAGATTTGCGATTATTGCGAAAGAAAAGTGCAAGAGGCGAGCCAGGGTCTGGTTAATATTCATCATCGAAATTTGGGATAACCAATCATTCGAGTCAGCAGCCCCATCGGATCGTTGAGCCAAGTGCAAATTTTAAAGATGGAGCGAACGACCCAGTTCTGGCCGGACATGGTTGGCCCTTGTCTGGAGGGGTCGCCCTCCACCACGCCGCGACGCCACGACGCCTCGAGTATCCTCAGCCGACGTGGGGAAGGAGACGCCCCTCTTGTTCACCACGTGAGCATATAAGCAACGCTGTGCCACTCACGGGATACAGTCTCACTACCCTCCTTTGCTCCACGTTACTCAGGTTAGCCAAACGCTTTAGACAAAAAAAAAGAGAAGCCGTCGAGGATGAAAAACAATCAAAATTTTGTAAAAAAGAAAAATTCGAAAATGTCAATTTCGAGATAACGTTAGCTGGAAAATTATTAGTGTAGAAACTCAAAAAAAAAGTATTTTTGCAGAAAATATACAACGTCGCAAAGGACATTAATTGCACATTCTGGACTGTGTGTATGGTTAAAAAAATGGAGAAAAAATTTAAAAAATTTGTCAAAACATATTTTTACTTCAGCTGCGCGTATAAAATTAGACCGAGTATGCGTGTAAACGCGATCGAAAGTAACAGCAGCATTTCTTAACGGTCCTGTCCAATGTCCCGAGGCGTAACAACTAGAAGTATAGTCGAGGCCGTCACATATTAATGCAAATTCAGACTCACTTGAAAGTTTAAGTTTTGAGGAACTCTCAAGTTCACTTCGTTTAACGTTAGACTAACGCTTTCATCCGAATGATATTAATTCCAGTGTATTAGCCGGATTTAGCCATGCGATCGTTTCACGACATTGGAGCAGCTTAAACCTCCTGTAGAAATTACCATCGTCAACCGCAGCAACTCAGGAAACTTTAATACTAAGCTTATTCCACTCAAAGTTATTCTCGCTTTCGAGTGTTACCAACACTTGACAATGTGCTTTCCCGAAATTTCCAGAACGTTCCAGCCACTTACATGACGTTCCCCACCGATCGGCTTCGGCCTTTTGGGAACTCGTTGCATTTTCCTGATAACCTAAATTCATTTATTTCACAGAATGAAGTTTTTTCCGGTGGTAGCAGCCCTGCTGCACGTTGTCCTCTCCGGTCACGTAGCAGTGAGATTGCCTTACCTGAATCCTGCAGGAGTGACGTACGTAGACAGTTACGCAGGACATTCAGCACCCTTGGGTTACGCAGCTGCACCAGCACTGCAGCACGCACCTGCACCACTGGCCTACGGAGCTCATCTTCAATATGCAGCCCCAGCAGCAATTCCTGCGAGATTGGAAGCTCAGCACGTTGGCTACGCAACTGCCCAAGTGCCAGCTGTAGCCGCTGTCCCCGTAGTCAAGCATGTGCCAACTGTCTCCCACGTGCCAGTAACAAGGATCCAAGCTCAGCACGCAGTCCTTCAGAAGCAGCTGGACGTTGTAAAGCCTGCAGTGTCCACCCGCAAAGTTGAGGTAACTAAAGGACCATCCCAGACCTTATCCCGAATTGCAGAATCTCTTAATCAATGCAAATGAAAATGCAGGTCCGTCGTCCAGCTATCCAGAAGCAATTCTACGATATCGAGGAACGTGTTATCATCAGACCAGCTGGTTCCGCCCTGGTTGAACTGGATGAGCCAACTTCGAAACTGCAAAGAGGACCAGCCGTGATCCAGCCTCTTGCAGACGCTGCACCAATTTCCGTGACTCCTGTACCAGACTCTCATCAAGTGATTCCTGCTGGCGCCATCTCTCACGCACCCCTGGCCCAGGGTCTGGTCCCCGTTGTTGCCCATGCTCCCGTCCACGTGACCCCAGCACCGGTCTACGTTGCCTCTTCCACCCACGAGCCATCTCACGTCTCTTCGACCCCCGCACCCAGCTTCGAGGACGAGTCCATTGTCGTTGAGAATCCCAACTTCCGCAGCATCGAGCAACAGACTGAAGCTCACAGGCAGCAGGAGCAAAGCTACAACGAGCACATCAATACCCCCCGTGCTTCTCAGGTATCCTTGCGATAATATATCACTGATCGCTATCAAATTTTAGAAAGAAAAAGAAACGCATATCCTGTAGCCAAGGAAAAGGTTTACTGGTTCAATGTAACCGGACGTATATACGTCCTTGCAGATACGGACCTATGACCGTTACTGATCGAGACAAAAGACATCGCGGTATTGACCTTTAAATATCTATTACAGAGCTAACATAGGTAACACTGTTCCCCGTCACATTTTTACGTAATAGTACAGAGACCGTGTTAACGTTAGAAATACACTACTGGTTCCTCGTAATTTCAAATAGATCAGTGGAAAAAAATTTATTGAATTAAAGGCGAATGCCAAGATCGCATCGGAGCCACGAGTCTACGCTCACTCGAACGGCGCTGCGCCCCTGGAAGCTGCAGCCCGTCTGGCAGCTCACGACCCTGCCCCAGCGGTAGTCGCCAGCGTTAGAAACAGCCCCGAGGAAAGCCACTCCAACCAGCACAAACTTATTGAACTGCTTACTGCTCGTGGAGGAGTCGCTGAGGTACAATTTGAGTCTTAAACAAAATTCTATTGTGATTTCATCGTTTTTATCAGTTACGTCTAGTACGTCAAAAAATGTAAATTCGAATTCCAGGTCGGATTTGGTCGCGAGGGACCCGCCTCCCGTGTAGGAGATGCTGGCCACGTTCGTGCCCGCGTCCTCTCCGCCACTGCTGCTCCTGAATTCGCAGAAGCTGCCGGCGAACGCGTGTCCACCCGTCGTGTTGTTGTAAGCCGACCCATCGAGACCCTCCAGGAATTCGACGTTGTCGAACCAGCTACAAAAGTTGAGAGGGTCTCTGTTCAAGAGCCCACTCTTATCAAGACTGCCCACCTAGAACACGTGCAAGTTCATGGTTCTGTTCCTGTAGTAGGCAAAGCCCTTGCACCAGCTGTCGCTCACGCTTCTGTTCCAGTCTACCAAAAGACCCTCTCCCCAGCTTACGATTACTACCATCATTGATTGTAAGAGGATTTATTGGAAACCGTGAACCTTGACCTTTGTTAACTACTTTCTCGAATGAAGAATCATTGAACTCGCCGTAGGTCACGGGATGTACATAATCATACACGCTTGTCGATTGATCAATAAAAGGAATTAAACATATTTTTTTTTAAATTCGTAATTTTTGAAAACGCTGTAAACTGGCTTACAGACAATTTCAATTAGGGAGTAATGAATTTTTTGTAAATGTTCGAATTATTCGTTTATATTATGGTGAACTCCAATTCGTAATATTTTTATGTCTTTTTTTATGGCAATCTGCATCCGTGTAGAATGTATTGGTTTCAACTAATTATGCACACGCACGAAGAAAAGCGACTAAAATCTGGGACAAGGTCGATAATTATGTCAGACTTGTAGTCGGTTTATGTCCTATTAAAAATATGCCTTTCACTCAAGTTATTTTAAGGTAAAAACGCACTGCGCTGAAATAGGTATTAATATATCGAATACCGCAAGAATTGAGTTTCAAAATGAAATAATGACGTCTATAAAAAAATATCAAGTACTTTGTAAAAGTAACAGAAGACCCCGAGACCTCGATTGATTCTTTAAATAAAAAAAAAACTCTAACCTATCAAAGATCTTAATTATAAAGTACACAATTTTTTAAAAATATACTTGCAGCATGCACCCGTTAGATCATCGGCTGCACAAACTTTCCCACAAGTTTAGAACTTGGTAAACTCGTACTTGTAGACTTTGAGGTCTGTCCCCGTAGTGACTAAGACAGTGCTGCTGCCTGCGGTAAGAAACGGAAATTCTCCTATTTGAAAGCGAATCGTGATTACCGCATAGAGTAACATACCGACACAGATACAACGTTGATTACAATTACCATAAAAAAATCGGTATCAGCTGTGAAAAAAATAAATAAATATAAATCAATTTAAGTAAAGACGTAAAAACACTAGACATTTTCGACGACTGTCAGTTCCTCTGTCTACATGGGAGAAAGCGGAACTGACAAAGCTACCCGGTTTACCCCATTCGCAGTAAAACCTTAAACGGTCTGAACCCCTATAAAGCAGAAACTTCAGACCTTTACCAGGATATGAAAACGTTGCTAGGGACAGACTCTATTGCTTTCGAATATTGCTGTTAAGCAAAAAAGGTATATCTACGGAAACGTGAGGGGAAATGAAAATGAATCGCTCTGAATATACACGGAATCCAAGGGAGATATCGAAGAAAAAATTACCGTATAAATATTTGACATTTATCCGAAAAAAGTACCACGTGCATCATATTAGAAATCGATAACTCATACGAACGATCAAAGAGAAGTGGCACTTCCTTGGTCAAGAGACAAGGATAACCAGTGCCTATAGCGAACACCTTAGCCAGTCCTAAGGTCACAACATTGACCTGGTTAACAAGACTCATAAACGTACCTTCATCTCGTACGATTCGCTCGAAACGGAAGAGCGAAAGGAGGAAGTGATTGCGATAAAGGTATACCTATATAGATATTCTGGATGAAGCCAGTCACGAGGAAACGACCTCGATCGTCCTTGGTGCCAAAGATTACATATATTTTTATATAAAGTTACATCAAGGGAATAATTATCGATTCGACGCAGAGTCGCAGCTGTGATTTATATCCATTTAAAAAATATTTAATTCGTTCTCTTGACGTTCGCCGGTGTGAAATGCAATACTGGTAATCGCGCAAACCGGAAAACGGGCTTGGATTAGCACTTGTGCAAGTGCGAAAGCACGTTGGTTCGCGCGACAGGAGCTACTTGACACGCGGCACGTGAACTGACCTTTATTTAAAGTCAGCAGCCAGCTCAAATTCACGCGGCATCGTCATTTCACTGAGTTACGATCGATTTACATAAGACTTACAAATCGTTTCGTTCTTTCGCTACCTCATGAAATTCTGACCTAACGAGAGTCGCTGCTTCGATGATTTTCAATGATCAAATACAGAAACTCCTTAAAATCGGATCGATCGACATTTAATAACTAACTTAACTATCGATTGACTAGAATTAAGAACGACTAGTGTTTGCATATTACGTCTACAAGTATCAAACCGAAATCGGTCCTCGAGATTTGCTTCGTTGAATCGTGAGTCGCGGGTAATAAAAGTAAAAGTGAATATTCATACAAAATTTATTGCTAGACTATTTTTTTTATGTACGAAAAATGCGTCCAAGCTGTTTCACTGTCATTAACGTCAAACTTGATGTAACTTTATGCCTTTGAGAAAAGTTCGGATCGAGCAAACCACTCGAGGCAGTAGTCCACTAAAGGTCAAGTTCTAGATAAAGGATGAGGGTAAACTTGAGGATGAGCCTCGTTTGGGAAGCTTCGATCTTCTATAGGGAAATGGCAGGAGGCTTCGTCGGCGGATCAGCAACTTTCAGCCAGGAAATTCCAACCGTCAGACTTGCTCGGGATCGTTCAGGGTTTTGCGTAGTGGCATCCTTGACTGAGTTTACAAAGGTTAGCGCCCTCGTCTCCTGTCACGCACTAACGTCTACCATCTACCGTCTACCGAGAACCACGAGGGTCGTCGGAAGGTCCAGCAGGTTCCCTGGGTTGCTGGTCAACGTGGGACTTCACGTTTAACCTCAAGCTTCGCCTCGAGTATCGAGCCGCTCTCGTATATAAGGAAACACAGTCACGGAACGTGCATTCAGTTAGACGCACACGCGAAACTCTATTCACGAATTCTTAGAGCTGAGGTTCAAAGGTGAGTGTTGTGAGACTTTACAATAAAATATATATACATATATATATATATATGTATATACGACAATCGGCTTAATTAAGTTTGTGCACCGTGACCATTTTGATTTGTGTTAATTATCCTAAAAACGAGCCCTCGGGATTTTTAATGTGTTCAACGGTTTGTGTGATATGTCGAAATTTTTTGGATTTTACAATTTTCGAAAACGTATAATAAAACGAAATTTTTCATTCGATACTCTTTTCACTGAGTTCATGAATTAAGAAAGTGCGATGAGTCGTGTCTGGAATGTAAATTATGAGTGCATTGAGTAACACGTACGCAATTTTGCATTTGCGTGCAAGTATCTCAGTTATTTACGATTTACTGTAATTATTAATAGGTATACGAAGATACTAATGGCTAATTCATTTTAAGTAGTCATCAAAAGCATTACGTGTGTACGATCTCAGATGTTTATTTTAAAAATTATTTTCAACGTAAGGCTGATGATTTAAAATGTCTTTCGATGAAGTAAGGAGCCGAGACAGTTCTGCCAATAAAGTGGGACTAATAAACGAAAATATAGAATTCACGTAAATTCTGAAAATCAGACTCATTTCAGAAATGACAATGAAGGTGATCGCCTTACTTGGATTGCTGGGCCTGTGCGCTGCAGCTCCTCAATTCCTAGCTCATCCGGAAACACCCTACGCCCATCCTGCAGTCCTCATCAATTCAGCCATGGAGAACGCTCTGCCTAACGAACTGAAAAATTCCTTCTACGAAAATCCAAGGATCGCTGCTGGTCTTGCGAAGGAGTCCTGGTTCGCTAATAAGGAAATGCAGGTGAGATTGAGGTTTGCATGAAGAATTGAAAAAGAATTTCGATCAATAAATTAAAATATTCTCACAGGTGATCGATCGCGAGGCTGAGAAGATTCCACGTGAGAAGATCTACGACGTTCTTCATAACGCCGGACTGGCACGTAGAAGATGAACCATTACGAAGGACAAATCCTAGAAGAAAATGAATTAAATTTTGTCTCGCAATGTTGCAAAAATATTTTTTCAATTTTTGTCATCTACATAAATCATACAACTATAGCAAACGTATAGAAGAGTGAATGAAAGATATTTATTTGTAACGAATGATGAATGTCAAAAATATTCCAATTGGAATTGCGTGCCTATACTAGATATAGTAAATGTTGTTTTTATTTAGCTAAGAGTTATACTTAATTCCAGATAATAATGTTTTTCAAAGAAAAAACATTTTTGTTACATCTCATAACCCTGTACACCTGCGTATAAACGTCGGTCTAAGGACTCGGACTGAACTTCATGTATATTTCAAGTTATAAATACAGCAAGCTCATTCGTAAAAATGGAAATGTGTTTTTTTCCAAGTCAGCTTAAAGGAAACACAATTGCCCCATAAGCAGTGACAAAGTAAGCGTATGTAAATTCAACTGAAAAATCCCATAGAGATATTCCAGGGTTCCGAAAGTGCGACACGAGGAGCACCTTGCACGAAGGCAATCAGATTTACTACAGTGTACAGCGTGACGTATATCGCCAGGCGACATTCACATTCTCCCATTCTCCGTCCTCCGTTTTCCAGACTCCGACCAACCTGCATGAGAAACTTTGAGCTGTGGTCTGGAAACTAACCTGAAACATTGTTCTACCTAGTGAAACGTCTTGTATGCCTTGTTACAAAGCCTAGCTCTACTATCGACTGTAACTAGACTTACAAACCAGCAAGGTTTCTGGGAAAATAATCGTTCAGAGAAACCGTTCTGAGATAATATCAAGACTACGGAAAGCAGCCACCCCTGAGCTACCGAGCAAGCTCAGTCAATAGCGGAATTAATTATTGCGCATCAGAGCATCGAATTTCTCAAGGGATAGCCAGTGGACGTAATCAGGTAGCATAGGGATATTTCAGACTACGGTAAAACGATCTATATTCGAGAGACGAAGTTCTTCGTCTGCCCTGAGGATAATCTCGAATTAGATCAAAGATATATGTATACGGTCAGGTACGTAACTGGTTATGACTACATAGACACGGGCATGTTTCGAATAAAGCAAGAAGTCGCGCGGCCGAGCACTTTGGCGAGAGTGCACTTCCCTGTATCTGGTGCATCTGCATCTCATTGCACTAAGAAGGAAAGTAAACAGGGGACTGGATCCCGCTGTCTTGTAGAAGGAAGTACGCGTTGTAATCTTTGATGGATGGAAGCCAATGGTGCCGAGGGAACAGTCGTGTTCAAGATCTCCACCAGATTCGATCTCTTGGGATGACTGGCTGGCGGCACGAGGACGACCGAGGATCGTGGGAAGCTGGATGGAAGATGCAGGGCATGCATCGATAGCCGGGAAATTGATCAGTGAAATCTGGGATCTAATGCGTAGCGAGGATGGATTGGTTAGAGAGTGTACAGGGTGTTTACTTTGTATGGAGGAAATTTGGGTACTTTGAAAGGAGTCTGTATCCTGTTGGATATTTATGGGATGCGTACGCCATTTGAATATCTAACAAGGGAACTACTTGCTAATATAGAGATTCTCCGGGTATCGAGAACAGTCTCCGATCTGTGTTAGTCTAAGGTTGCTTTATGGGTGATGCCCTTTGTGGAATTAGTGAGAGGCCTGTGACGCATTAGTCGCCGGTTCTACAGATGGCCGTTTTACTCTGACTGATTAAGCCTGACACAGGCACATCCTATTGAGTATTGAGAAAGAAAAGAATTAGCATATTGCGTTATAAAAATTACTTTTACTCTTCTTCTATGATCGAATCGATCTGGAGTGAGAGTAAAAATTATGAAAATTCATTTTTCATCCTTATTTAGTACCTAGATTTACTTTAGCCTGAATAGCGACAGTTTTCTATTACCGAAGTAGCTCGCAATGCTTCACCCGTACGTTAGAACGTCTTTGGATTCATTGGCAATGGTATCTCCATATCGAATAAATAGAAATTCGAGCACTCGTGGGGATGCACTATAAATGCGAATGGCGAACGTTATATCCCGGCAGATTCACATTCCGTGCTCGATCGGGAAGACGAGTCCGAGGAGTGCTCGATCCTTCGATCCTCCCGATCACCGATCATTGAGTTTGCCAGTCATCGACTTATCGAACGATCCCGACCGGCTGCGAAAGGATCCACAGCGGGTTAGTGCATCCGTGTCACGAGGACGATTCCAAGATACCAAGAGCACTGAGCGTACCCATAAAGGTCAATCACACCGAGTGCTCGGATAGTTTCTTCGTTCTATACAAAGGAGTATAACAGTGTTTAAACCGCACGGCATTCACCCTGCTATAACATTATCGTGCTAGACGTTAGAACTTTGCGTGTTTTTCAACAATTCTTCTTCCTCGTATTTCAACGTTATTTCCACTGAATATGCTGCTTGTTCTTGCCTCATTGCTCCTGGCGGTGGCAGCTGAGTCGGTAAGTGGTCTTGATATCTGAAAAACGAAAAATATAAATGAACTGATTCACACAAAAAAAAATCAAAATACCTACGCTATGCTGTTTAATCATATACAGGGTTCGTCAATTTTTGTTTTTCTTCAAACGATCATTCTTTCACAAATTTTAGTATTGATCTTCTGCGGTTTTATTGTCGAGATACAGTTTTCTACTTTATCCACAATTTTTGTACGTATCATCCATCCCACTCGTCACTCGAAAGGTTCGTGGGTAGGGGGACGTAATTTAGTATAGAATGTCCAAATGATTTATCTAGACGCATCGAGTTGCGGGAGCCGAGCGGTCGATGTATTGCGCAAGTGGTGTGAAATGAAGCACCAGCTGCATTATCTATCGGACTGCAACTTGCAGAAAGGTTGCACAATATTTTTAGAAATGTAGAACACGTAGAGATCCACTTTCTATCCTCGCGATTCTCCTGTTCGTTACGCTTCCATTAGCCGTATCGAATCTATTGAAATTATAGTTATTTTTAATAATATTGCATGCGTACCCATAAATTTATTAAAAATTTATTTTCTCATTGTAGCCTTTGACCCAGCAAAGATATGAAGATACAGAATATGGAAGCCAGTATCCTGGAGCAGCATCCAACAAGGACAAAGGTACTTTGGAAAATTTAGGATTACTTGATTCCGAGGTTGCTGATGAATTGAATGGTAAAGGTTGGCAGGGCGTGGTGCCTGGGATCCCTGAGAAGGACTATCCGAATTTGAATAAAGTACCGGAAACGTCATTTACCTGTGAAGGTAAAATAGCTGGAGGATATTACGCAGATGTCGAAACACGATGCCAGGTATTAAATCAATATACTGATAAAGCGTACGAAAAATTTGATTGGTTCAAAAATTTTGAATTAAATTTTTTTTTCATTTTTAGGTATTTCACGTCTGCAACACAGGGGGCGTAAAAAGCTCGTTCCTGTGTCCCGGTGGGAGTATATTCAATCAAAAATATTTCGTGTGCGATTGGTGGTACGACTTTGAGTGCGACGACGCGACTGAACTTTATTATTTGAATGCAAGAAATAATCGTGGAAACGAACGTAGTCGTCCGGAGTCGCAACATCCGGAACATGATTATTCATCGAACGATGGCCATCAGAATTCTTCTGTATCCTATAATGGTAGAAGCAGGACCCTGAACGAGGGCTTCGATTTGTCACTGGCCGGAACTGGCGAGGGTGCTTCTGGTTATACTAGGGATAAAGAAATTCATGGTGATCAAAGTAACGTTAGGAATATTGAACGCAATGAAAATCGTCCGAGCGGAAACTACAACATGAAGGATCCCGGTCAACAGATTTCAAATAATTCCGGACAGGATGTTGGCAGGCTTGAGGAAAGATGGAAAAATCGAGATAAGACCAACGAGAATAGGGAATCCCATGAGAATCATTCGGTCCAGGGAGATTACGATCGGAGTATATACCATTCGAGACGCAAGGACGAAAGTTTGGACGGTTACGAGGAGAGTCCTTCTATTCGGAGGATATTTAGCTCACAGAATGATAGAAACAGTCGGCTCAATGATGGCGCGCGTAGAGATCATTTTGATCTTAATGAAGACAGGAGAAACTTTGAAAAGGGGGAATATCTGACACCGGGAAACGACCAAAGTTTGTTTAACGAAAGGTCTAAGGGGGATATGAATTTTGATAAGGGATACGATAAAAATAATGATCATAATAGTAATCGTTTTTCAAGTATACAAGTAATTAATCATTTTCGTAATACAGTACGAAATCATGATCGAAATGGCTTTTTTGTCAATGGGCCAAGATCACAGGGAGAAAACGATTCCGGTAATGAACGAGGAATTTCGTTTTTTCGTGAAAAATTTGATAAGTCCTATCAGCAAAATAATCATCCGATACCTGGTCACGTAAAGAAGACGTCTGGTGGGCGAAATATAATTGAGAATGAAAATCATTTTGGAGAAAGATCATCGAGACCTGGGATAAGGTATCTGTATCCGAATGAAAACGAGGATAGATACGAAATAAATGGTTTTCCAAAAAATAATTATTCGGATAATAACGTAAATCATTTATCGGAATCATCCAGAGATTATCGTAAAAAACAATGTGAATCCAGTAACAATATACCACCTGAACTTCGACAGGATCCATCAAAGTCTATTTTGACTCCTGATAACAGCCATAGGCAAAATGCAGGCAGAACAGTTCAAAGGGTAACCGGTGGTTTACAGGGTGGAATTGGCAATGGGTATCCAGGATCTAACAGGGAGTTGCCTGGTTCCAATGCAATAGCCGGTACTATTGCTCCTGTCCTTCCCGTGGAATCGCAGGACGTTCCTAATGATCGAGTTAAAGGAACGGGTTCATTGAATTTCAATGGTCATTATCCCAGTAATGAATATCCATCAGGACCCCCGAGACAGGAGACGGGATCTCCAGGATTCGGTTTAAATGCGAATAATGGATACCCTGGTATTAGGCCGAATCCGAACACGAATGGAATACTCACTGGGCAAGGACGAACGTCCTTAGTAACTAAGACTCCCTCAGGAACTACTAGTCCTGGTGAAATCACTAGTATCAGTACAGGGTACGGTAATGGCGTAGCTAGCACAACTGATAACTTTAACGAACATGGAGACTATAAGGGTGGTTTACAAAGGGATGAAACTCATGGTTCTACAAGCAACCTTCCTCCCTTTGGAAAACGAAATTGGATTCAACATAATCAAGGATACCTTCCATCGGACTCAGCGAGAAATGAAGACAATGAAAAATTTGTAAAAGATATTAAAAATGTACAGAATAATTTTGGAAAATTTAATTGTAGAAACGGTCATGTAAATGAATTTGAAAATATCGATTATCTGCCTCCTAAGATTTCTGGTAACGAGAGAGAGGAAAGACATATGGAAGATCGTACGAGGTATCTTCCAGCGTTATAATTAAATAAATTAAATTAAATTTTACATATATTATTTAATGTGTTTAATAGACCTAGGAATTCAATAAACTTTATATTACATCTAACGTGTATATATTTTATTGAATAATAAAAATATAGCGATAAACGGAAAGAAAAGAAACGACGGATCGTTTATCTAACCAATGACGATTAACGCATTAACGATTAAGAAAAGTCTGGCACGATTCGGGTCGAGATAGGCGTGGCTCGTGCATAACACGCTATGTCAATTACAGCATCTTTACGTATGCAGAACAGTAGTAACAGACAATCAGAATGCACGCAATAAGCAAAAGAAGCGTAGCGTCTCTCTCATAGTTACATCCTACGTCTATAATGAAACCCGAGAACAATTGCATGCTACTTGCTTCATTAAGAAAAGAACGGCAGCCTCTCATAGTTTCTTTTGTTTTCTACAACCCTCCTATTTCCGAGACGCCGTATGTAAATTTCGCATGGACTCAAGAAAAACACTAAATTGCATATTATTTTGCATTGGGCTATTCAAAAAAATAATTATCATTTTTCTCGAGCCCTCGTTGATTTAACAAAAGTACGATAGTCGAAAATAATTAATGAAATTTTGAAAGACAAAAATGGCCAACAGGAGCCAACAGTCGAGAAAGTTGACGAGCAAGTAACTAAGGACTAGAGTCAATTTGGCACGCCCTATAACTCGGTGCACTTTGCGACTCTACGAAGAGCGGACATGCTTCGCAGATTTGTCTTCATTTGCGAAAACGAGGTGGTGTGGAAATCTTCGTAAATCATCTGGCAGAGAGGAAACTTGGTATACAGAAGCGTTCGTAGGAATACGTAAGAGGGTCTCTACGGAGGAAGGGGAGTAGTTAGAAGGAGAGAGTAGGAGAGGCTAAATGCAGCCAGGGTAATCATTAAAAGCGTAATATGGGATAGTTACATGATCCCCACGCAACGTCACGGACCCTACGGATCTCGTAAACTGTGCCAGTACCGTAGACGTTAATAATTCAGTATATATCGTGAATAATAAAAAAGATGATAAACGAATTCGAAATGATAAAAAAGGTTAATTAGTTGAAGCTACTGAAAATTATGAAAATTGGGATTTTATTGATCATTAAAGTCATTTTGCATTTAACTGAAGAGACTATAAATGATGGCATTAGATATACCTGGTAGCATTTTCTGAATGGAATCAGTGACCTATATAATGTCGAATTTTATATGCGAATACCGTTTGATGTAGGCAACTAACTTTCATAAGAGCAATCATTGAGTGACGAGAATCTCGCTGCATAGCCGCGATTAGAGAAATCATAGGATGATACAATAACGTTGTTAGGTACATTTCATCAGATTTCGTAACAGCCGCTAATGATTATATGTACCTATCAAGAAAATACCCTGCGGCGCGATTTTCGTTCTTGTACACAAAATTATCATTGTACCGTGTGTAACAATGATTTTAGGTTAGACGATTGGACGAACTATACATGTCATTTTGATCTACACTATAGTAAAAGATGCATTCACTTTAAAAAATCATTGCAATTCATTCACGTTTGCTTTATGATTTGACCGTATCATTCACGTCGCTTAAATTTTTATGATGGATCGGTCGCTGACACATCTACGTACTCAATCTTCAGTGAATCGGGTCACGGATTACAATGTCGACTATGAAGAAGATGGCCTCCTCTTCTTGATTACATCATTAATTGCCGAATACAGATCACTTTCGCCAGCCTCTATTCCAAAGGCTACCGCGAGGAGTCTAAATTATTTTCTTTTTTTTCCACTGGTGGGGAAGAATCGTTTAAAACCTTACGGACTTGGTCCCCAGAAAGAGATCGTATATAAAGGAGATGATTTTTGAGAAGAACATCAAACATCAGCTAGCATCTTTCGGTAAAGCAAATAGTTTTAACCAGACCACAATGGCCTTCAAGTGCGCTGTCGTAATCCTGTCTGCCATTTCCGTCATTCAGGTGGGTTCGCCATAAGATTGAGAATATTTAAGAAAAATTTTAATTTCGTTGGGCCTTTCTTTGGTGAATATGTGAATTAGTCGTATAACCCACAGTGTGATCCTACGGGATCATCCAGTACTTTATAATCAATGCTTGCACCTCCTGATATTCTCCACAGGCGCAAAACGGATATCCAAGGGATAATCCAGCGAGACAGCTGGATTACAGCCAGGGTTACGCTAATAATCTTCTCAGAGATAACGAGGAGATGTCCGGTGGTGAGATACCCGGTGAACCCGGCAAGGACTACCCGACCTTCTACGAAGTCCCGGAAACTCGTTTCGATTGCCAACAGCAACAATATCCTGGATATTACGCAGACACGGAAGCTCAGTGTCAGGCTTTCCACATATGTCAAAATGGTGGACGTAAGGACTCCTTCCTCTGTCCCAACGGCACACTTTTCAATCAGGAGCGACTGGTCTGCGAATGGTGGAACCAGGTCGACTGTTCTCAGGCTCAGAGTTTCTATTCCATTAACGAGATCATCGTCAAGGCGATGGAGGAGGCTGAAAGGTAATACGAAAATTGTGATTTACTAAAGATATTTTGAGAGGGAAAATAAATTTGTATTTTTTATCTCACCTTTCCAGACAAGCCGCTGAGAGAAGAGCTTCTGGATACCGTTATGACTCTGCCGGTAATCCGAATGGTCATCGTGGGGTTGGTAGCACTGCTCGTCCCCAGAATGAATTCGACATCATATCCGTAGAGACACCCGCCATTCGCAACCCCGTCGCATCCAAATTCTCTCAACACGGATCCCCACGTCCGGTTAATCCATTTAACTCAGATCGTCCTGTTCCTAAAAAAATCACAGCTCGTCCCCTTAATCCTGTTTATGGAGTCCCGGAAGTTCCTCAGGGTACCCAAGGACCTGCCTTCAACAAGCAAAGCGGCATTGCCCTTCCGGATAACAGCCAAATCACCGCTGCGAATTTTCGAAACCAGCCTAGTGGCCATCAAGAAATTGAAGAAATAAACCGCGAGTATCTTCCCGCTTAAATTTGAAAATCGGCACAACCAATTTTCCGACAACTAATCTCTTGACTTTTCAATGTATCACTAATTATTTATTCTCAACCGGCTACTGATGTGTACACGCAGTCTTGTATATATGCTTTATTGTATATTAATTTATTCACACAAATGAATAGTGGATCTCAGCGCTCAATAAAGACAACAAAAATTTTATGCAATTTACATATTTTGTCTCTGATTAAAACGTAGTGCAACTTTTTATTTCGCTCAAGGAAAATAGATGCAACGCGGAAAACACGTTTCCCGGTTATGTGAATATCATTTATGTGTAGCTATCATCTTCATGCGTGTTAGAAACATTGTCATTATCAAGTGTCATAGTTATAAATAATGAATATTGCAAATAGATACGTAAACGGAAGAACGAGAATGATCCCATGTGTTATTTTATGCAAGTTTCTTGATCGAGTCTTATCAAGTTCCATTTTTTAATTCGTTATCACTATCAGAGTAAATGTCAATATCGAATCACAACAACCGTTAGACGAGTAACCAGATCTGAATTGAGTAGTAGTTTGGATTGATCGTCATTAGAATCATTTGTCCGCGCCAGTTCGATAAAGGATCACAATGACGGATTGACATTAAAAAACGTTTTTTTAAAAACCAAATCAAATTAAAAAAATCTCAAGATATCGTGCAATAAAGATGGATATAATTTTAAGTGAAAAAAAAACTGCACGTGGAAATTGTAAAATCGCATAAGTTCTTATCAACCATATCATAGCAAAAGTGTCTGACAATTCTATTGTAAATCTCAAAAAGATACAGTAACTTGCCGAAGATCTGTCCTCAAGGTTTACAGCGAGTTCCGATAACGGTGAAAAGTAAAAAGTGATCTTAACGCTTAGCACAATATTTGCCCTGAGTAATCTTCCTAGTCGAGAGATCAGCGAAGGACAAGTAAACTATTGTCGTTACGCAATTGTGAAATAGAATGGAGAATAGAAAAAATGGAAAGCAAAAAATTTAATTCGAACGATTTATAACAATAGACAACAACTTTATGTACTATTGGATGTACAATAAAGTGACTTTTTTGCCTTTACCCAAAAATTCCTTCGCCCACGTGTCACCTACGGGAGGATAAAATTTTGTGAATTTTTCTACCTGTCAGGATCCCACGTATGACGCAATCCCCGATCAACCCATGACGCATTATTGAACCCTTTATGGGTTCGTTACGATTGGGTCGTCGCGAAGCTTATTATAACGTTATGTCATGCCATTTGCAATTGCACAATGTGTATATGTATATTATGTACCATGGTAATTATAAGAGCGGCCTTGTCGACTCTTCCTACGACAGTGACAATGATATCCTCGGGAGATACGTCACTGGCAGCCGGGATAAGTAATCATAATTTTCTAGGATGGCCAAGCAGGAATTGCCGTGACGATGTAAAACTGGCAAGAACCAAAGATCGCCTATTGTGCCCCCGCCTCCTGCGTCCCAAGGAGCGGCCGCATTCTGCGTAACGGGTGCGCTTTAGCAGCCAGTGCATTTATCTGGCCCCTGAATTGCACTTAATATCGCAATCGCATAGTTATCAGAATAGTGCGTTGTTGGCCTAGGCCTAGTGCAGTACAGAAATGGAGCAGCGAACTATGTCAGGTACGAATACGCAACCTAACATTCGATCGGCAATCGACGTCTCGGCATTCGCGTTCACCGATTCGTGCGAAACTGCAACCGCGAAAGATCCACCTGTCATCCGATTCTTGGCGATCCGTCGTGTCCGCGCACAATGAAGATAAAAATACGTGACAGTGCACTCTCCGAAAATGGAACGAATCGACCTGAAAAAAAAAATTCGACAAATAAATATGACAATAGTCGACAATATTTTTTGGAGATTAAAGGGGGATAAATAGAAAAAAATAAAATTTTTTTTTAAGAAAAAAAAAAACCAACTTTGTATCTAATAAATATTGGAAATTGATAATAAATATTGGAATCTACAATAAGAAGACCCTTTTGCAAGCAGACTGTTATTGGCATGACACGTGGGACGTTCGAAGTGTTTTTTGCATTGCGCATTTCAAAAATTTTATTCCCAACATGTCAGTGCCATTGTCACCAACTGAGCCAGATCTCGTTCTATCCATAATTTAAGAAAATTTGATAAATAAACTTGATAGGATAACATCAGCCTGGAGCATTTATACGCGTCATAGACAAGACCTTGATTTACGGCTCCGGTGTGTCAGTGGGTATTACGGCCAGTGCCGAGGAACGTGATGCACCAGTATCCTTATCGTGTCTCCACAATGACATATGACGATCCGAGTAGATCAGACTGATTAATTGAAACTAACAGATAAGAGTCCTTCGACGTTGGATTTACCTATTGCAGATGATCGATCTCCCAGAAGCCTCAATTTCACTTTAATTCCCACAGCAATCAAGCAGGAGTTCGAGGGGTTCCTGAGGACCTTCGAGAAGGACCAAGATCTGGTGGTACAGGATGCCGAAGAGGAGCCAGGATCAAAAATCGGCGACAACTACATGTCCATTGTGCTGAGGACAAAGATCATTGGAAAATATGGCAATGGGAAACGTAAGTGGCTCGTTACAGTCTCGTCACGCTAAGTAGCTAATGACTAAATGGACTTGGCAATGCAGCATACGAGAAATCCTTCATGACCAAATGGATCCCGCGTCACAGGCCAATCGCAAGTTTCGTAAGGAACGAAGAATTTTTTCACAACGAAGCACACGTTTACCAGAAGTTACTTCCGCATCTTGGTCCCATAGCACCCCAGTGCATTTACGCTGATCCAGAGAGGATAATAATGGAGGACTTGAAGTCGCGAGGTTACGTCGTTAACGAGAGACGTAATTTATTGGATCTGGAACATTGTACAGCGGTAGTCAAGGTACGAGATATAATTATTTTTTAAAAATCATTACTCACCCTCTTCTGTCTTTCCACAGACATTGGCATCCCTGCACGCCAGGTCCCTGGCCCTGAAGATCAGTGACCCCCAAAGATTCAAAAGCCTGATGAGTCCCTTGAAGGAAGCTGTCTTTCCTCAGGATTCACGTCCGGCCGTAGGCTCGTCCATTGCCTTTAGTTTGAATTATGCAATTAAAATTCTGGAATCGATCGAGCCAAAGACAGACGAGCTGACGGCGGGTATAGAACTGGTGAAACGTTACATCGAGAATACGTACGACGTGATGCGTGAATTGTTGCTGGCTCGGAATGACAAATACGACGTAATGTCCCACGGCGACGCCTGGAACAACAATATCTTGTTTAAGCACGACGCAGCCGGAAGAGTGACGGACGTGAAGTTGCTCGACTTCCAAATCGTGCGTCACACCTCCGCAGCCATAGACTTCCTTTACTTCGTGTATTCCAGTGCGCAGGCTGAAGTCATCCACGAGAGTTTCGACGATCTCGTGGAAATTTATCATCGTCAGTTCATTTACGAATTGCGTCGGCTCCACGTACCTGAAACTAATATTTCGGACTTGACTACGGACTGGTTTAACAGTGAATTACAAAAATATTCTGTATACGGAATACTCACCGGATATTGGATAGTAAACGCTGTACTCGCCGACGAGAGCGACGCTATTGATATGGACAGTCTCACTGTGGAACAAATGGAAGGGATAGGTAGAATCGAACCACCAATTCGTCCGATAATCATGGAGAGAATGAAGCACATAACGTTGCACTATCAACGACGGTTCAGTTAGGGAAGATTGTCAAAATCTTATCGAGATACCTTCGCATGTAGTACAAATTAATAAAAATCAATTATCACGTGACAAGACAATTCGAAAACGTTAATAAATTACCAATGGTCAAAATGACCTTACTGTAATATTTTGTCGAACACATTTTTTTTCGTCGATATACATAATTTTTTATATGGTACGCAATGTGGAGCTTTATTCGAAAGCTCATTCCCAATGGAAAGCACATTATCAAAAATCAATTTTCTGGGATTTTTGAAAAAATCAAAATATATGACTGGGTACTTGAGTCATTTTTTTTCTCTTTTTTCCCCTTTCTACGAATACTCTCTGGACAAGATAACCAGGCGATAAGTAGGAGAGTCTTTTAGAAGGTTAGAGAATGTAGGGGCGGGCATAGTAACAGTGGGAGAAAGACACTCTTAGTACATAAACGACCTACAGCACGAAGATCGTGCTCACTCCGCTGCGGAGCTCGGGAAGACCCGTTGGTCATTATGTCTATTGTTACAGCATATACTCAATTTCAGATCCACGTGAAATCGATAGAGTACTGATGTTTAGTAATAATAGAAATTGTAGCCGGAGAATCTGCAGGGTCGTAGAAGCACAAAAATAATATCTGCTTGGTGTCAAGAGCCAGGATACTTGGTCACAATGGAGAGCAGCGAAATATATATATATATATATATATATATATATATATATATATATATATATATTGAGCAAGGTTTCTCACGTATATTAAATTAATCTAAGCCGCCAGTAAACTCGTGGAATGACGAAGAAGGTTGCCCGCGGATTTGCGACTGATTTCTTTTTTTCCACTTTTTTTGTCGTTGCCAAGAACGCAGCCTTCGTCACTTTCGTAAGACGTGGATATTAGCCGTATTCGATGCGCGCTTCTCGAAGCACAGCAAAGCGAGTATTTTCACTTATTATTCGTAATAGGTATATTCATTAAACACGTATACAATGCTTAGTCGTTATACGTTTTCCTAGAGTTTTTACAGGTATCAATTCAAATTCCCCGCGCATAAGACACATTCACAGCATGCATAATACTCATTCCCGGAAATTGAATTTTTCCTCTGCCAAATAGCTAATGAGTAACAGCCACACCTTCGTAATGATATTTATTTAATTCAAGAGTAATATACAAGGGGTGTAAATAAAACTATATTCGTAGCAGAACTTAATAGCCTGCAATGGACTAGCGTTACATCGAAGTATGTGCATATAACTTCGGCCGAAGACGCAAGCACGAAAGTTACGCAAGCTTCCGCGATTCGTGAAGTAATTTTCCTGGACAATTATAATCGGCGGAGATGTGACCCCTGCGGTCGCCGCACAGATGTGTATCGGAGATACGCCAAGTGACTCCCTCGCTTTAGGAATAGGAGGAACAAGAAGAAACAGAGGAGGCAGAGCCGAGAATGAAAAGAATCGAAATGAATTAAATGGGATGCTGGAAGACTCGTATGAAGTCATTCGAAGAAAGTTTACGTAAGACGCAATAGTCGCGCCGGCGTAATCGTCCGAGTAATCGTGCAGGTAATCGTCAGACTTGAACTACATTTCGAATTGCATAGAGTCGGAAAGCCATAGGAGAGAACAGATGCGCATCCACTGCCGTGAAAGCAGTCCTACCTCGAGGTGCAGTATCGAGAGCGTGGATCGTTTTAAAAACCATATATACTCCACGATGGTACCAAATGATAATTCCTGATAGGAAATAAAAGTGCGGGTACACTTAATCGAGCCTCGGGTATTACAAAACGACGAGATCGTTAGTACAGAAAGTTTTACTTGCGAAACTCCCCCGAGCTACGGTGGCGCCATCTAACCGAATTCAACGTCACCTTGATCTTTCGACGGGAGCTAAGAGGTCACGTGGTCGGATCCATCAGCTGCGAATCTTGCTGATGTTTATTTGATGGACGGAACATTTTTTTTCACGTTTTTTACTCGAGCATTGCGACTCGTGTGGTTTATATACAGTGTGAATATTGTGAACTGCATCTCAGGCTCGTACGCATACATATTTATGGGCAACTCTAGGAAATTATCGACGAAGGTAAACGCGCGTAACAGAACACTCGGAGCTTATCCGAGATTACTATCCGTCACGATTCGCGGGATGGGTGTACATACAAGAAATGTGAAGATATTTCCTCACGCAACGAACATGATTATCGGCATTACACGTGCGTCACGTATGAATGATGTATTGCTCGGTGCTTGTAAGGGCTTTCGTTGGCAGCTCGTGAGTCTTGCCCTTTGTATAAATTTTTTTTGCCAATTTTTTAAGCACCGTCAATCCAGGATGTAATATTTGTATATAAAAAAAATTTTGAAAAAATCAAATATTTTGATTGTAAAAATAAAGCTTGTTTAGACCAGAGGATAATGCGATTGCGCAATGAATTTTTTTTATGTTGAATAATCACGTAGTATCTGCACATGACGCAAGGGTAGATTTGCTTACGAGAATCATGTACGATGTGTATTAATAGGTTGATAGTTCTCTGACCGCCAGAAGAAAGACGTGAGGTCAGTAAAGTCATCCACTATAGGTCCGTATGTAGAATGGTAATGATTCTCTCGCAGGTGTAACACATAGGGAGATGGATACCGTCAATAAATCTCAAGGATTATAAAATCATCGAACGTTCACGATCTTCCAATCAACATTGATGCTTGTCGAGATTTTCTGTATATATATGTATACCTAACGAAAGATCTTTTATTAGTACTCCCACATAGTCAATTTAATCTTTGAATGATTCTAACGAGAATCCTCGTATCCGAATGACTTTTCCGTATCGATCCTTCACTTCTTGAATGCTTCCGGCTGATGCTTCACCTCCGTAACGTAGCCGCCACCTCGGCTCTGTTTATAGTGTAAATTTTTACGGGCGTAATTTTTCTTTTTTCGGCGATTTCCCTTTCGGCTTCTTCCTTGTATTTGTTCGGTCTTACGAATATAAATGCTGCCTCGATCTTCTGCCGTGAGAGAAAGCGATACAGATATGGCGGGACGGAAATCCGTGCGCTCGTGTTCTCGTGTTTCGTCGTGACTTCAAAAGGAGGCGAGGAGTTCCGCGACGATATCGCATCCAGGATATCGAGAGTCATCGGGGAGAGTCAGTCGATCTCGTAAAATCAATGTTGCCACTGTGGAAAGAAATAAGATGAATATCCGGATTGTTAAGGGGCGAACGGAAACGATTCGTGAGAGCTTTAGATATTATCGCTGTCAGGAAATCTCTTGAAGCCCCGTGGAACTCTAGGTGAACTTTGCTTAGGTTCATCTCAATCAAAAAGGCATTTTCTCAGAAAATCAAAAGATCAAAGCCTGGATGCATGGTATCCACCGAGTCATCGATAAATGATTGTAGGTATATTTTTAATGAATTTAAAAACAGTCGAAGACCTGAAAGTAAAATACAGTCGATGCAGGATAAATTCGACGGAAACTTAAAAATGAATGATTGTGGATATATATTTTTATTTAGTGGCATAGAATTTTTTCTCGTTAGATTTCCAATCAGGAAATTCCAGACCCGATAACAGCATTGGATATACTGGTGGATAAACCGTTTTAATTGAAATGGGTAAACAAGGAGCTGTCTGTAAATCAATTCTTCTTTCAGTACCTTTTTCAAGAGTTTTACTTCACTAGCTTTATTTATACGATCCACTTACAGGGTCTCTACGTTCTGGACCGCCGTTAAATTGCATCCCGAAAATCTCGATCCCTCCATTTCCCGGTTCATTGAACACTGAATTGGCCTTCGCGTGATTTACTAGTAAGAATGGACTGAATTGCAAGACAGTGTATAAAAATTTATATGACGAAACTCACAAGAATCCTTTATTATTCGTGGATCATAGTCGAAGGTCTCATGCATGTTCATTTGATGTCATCCGGGATATTCTGTCGTTCGTACGAAGTACGCCTTTAATTCAAAGGGCAATTAAGATCTCTTTATTAATCCGTGATGTCATCCAAGCCGAGTTGGTGTACAGACTAACATAAGTAAGAATGAAAGATTGGCCAGATACCTGATATCGTTGAAAATACCAATTACGACTTCGTTTCTCCATGAGGAATTGCGCAAGTTCAAAGTTGCACATCATTCCACATGACTAATTACGAATCACTCGCATAAGGTCCAACATCTACGTCACTTCTTTTTTTTCTTTCTAATACAAATATAATTGCGGTTCTCATCTTTTCATCAATTAATTCAAATTGCAGCCTATTCTGCTTTTACTCGTTTCCCAAAACACTTAAACTGTAGGTCGAGGTCGTATTCCTCTTTCACACTGATACGTCCTATTGCTCGTAACCGAAGATGATGCAAATCGTTGCTTGTTCTCGCACATAGAAACGTGTAGAAATTGCTTAACGTCAACGATCGACCACGTAAAATCCGATAAACTAATAGTAAGCTATGACCATCGCTCTAAGAAGCAGCTGATCGCGAATCTATATAAGTAAGTGTATTGTATAAAAGAGTAGCACCTTGTCCCGAATACTTTATTTTACCTTGAGATGCTTCAGTGTTATTTGACGAATCCTATTAGTGAATCATACCTTAAGTGAATGCTGTGACAATTGCCAGCTACGCTCGAACCGAGTCTGTCTGCCAATCAAAGATATTTCGAAAAAGCTATTATCGAATGAAGATTTTATGGAATTTCTATAATGGATTTCATCGCATCTCTTAGCTCACACGTCTTGTAAACCTAATGAATACAGACTAGATTTTATACTACAATAGAAACAGTAGTCTGGCAGCTTGCCTGGTTTTTAATGAAGTTGGCGACGAGTATCTTCTGCGTACTCTCCTTGTTCTTCGTGGACACTTGAAATTTCTCGAGAGTACTTTAATCTCGAAAGTGTTTACATTGCTGTGAAAATTCTATATCGCGTGCCATTTCTCCGTGGCGTCGCAACGTCCCGTGTTTCCTTTCTTTGCTACCAGCTCTATGGCGACGAGTAATATAAGAGCCGTGAACAATTAAATTCCGACGAACGACAATTTGTAATAGTAGCAGAGCAAATAGTATTTGTATATCCGAGTTTGTCTGTAAAACATGTTAATAACGAACAACTCAAACGGCCTGACCCTTTCCGAACGCGTGACAAGACTGACTCAGCTTACCCACGCCGGCCGCTTAGCGGCGCTGTTGGGCCCAAGGGCGGCAGGTTTAAATTCAAAGAATTCGAACAAAATCGGAAGAAAGCTATGGAAAATAACAATAAATAAAATGACAGTAAATTCAAATAAAATAAGTTTGGCTGCCGGTTGGGAATCGCGGTAGCTTTCGAATGCAGCGCTGTCGCAAATTCTCTAAGCGCCCATCAGCATTATGGATTCCTTTAAGATCCATAAAAAAATCCCATGCATAACCGTATCTAGGAATTCCGAGTGAGGCACAAAGAAAGCATCACGGAATTAATCATCTTGCGAGTTATCATGAAAAATGACTCTGTCAACCGTCTCAACGGGATAATAAATATGAGAAATTCATTATTAGACACAACCGAGTATCAAAGCGTTACCCACCTAATGCTTATTATAACGGATGAATGTAAACTGGACATCTGTAAAATTACTTAATTCACCACAAGGGGTGTACGAAGACGAGTGCAGTCAATAATTTATCTTCGCTCCATAAGCCAGAGCGTGCAATTTGCACCAGCTTGCATCTACATCCCCAGGTATATTATTGCACATAAAGATTCCACTATACAAGTATCGTACCTAAGAATCGTAAACACTGCCTGGGAATATTTTTGCCAGAAAATTCTCCACGTTGCCAGTTTCTTCTGACAACTCGAAGAATTTGACATTACATATCCCCACCGAGACACGATTAAGAAATAATAATAATCCCTCGAGGAGAATCAACCATTTTCAAAAAAATCTCTAAAAAGATATGAAAATTACGTGCAAATTTCGTAATAAGAAATTATATTACAGTAATGCAGATTGTCATTAATACAGGAACTTGAGTGATCCAGCAGGAGTATGCAGACGGTAATCACGCCAAGTATTACAGACCACGTGTCACTGATGTCAGGTAAAAGCTGCAACAGGAAAGGAAAGTGATGCTGGATGGTTAACGAGAAGTTCGAAAAGGTCGATGAAAAATGCGTGCCAATGTCATAACGCAAACATTAGGCGTAGAATTCCTCAGGTATAATATTAATACTTCTAAACGTTATGTACCAATAAAGCCGCCGCACGCTTTCACGACTGAGGTTACACATTCGGGAATGAAATCTTCCTGAAAATTGAAAAAAGAAATCAAGACATACTTGAGTCCATACAAGTCCCCC